ATTGAGGAGGTGGGGGGGGGGGAAGAATTCGAGAAATAAACTGCTGGGTTGGTGTCACCAAGGAAACTTTGGTTTCCTGCAGTGGTGAAATCCAATTTTTTTTACTACTGGTTCTGTGGGCATGGCTTGGTGGGCGTGGTGTAGCTTGGTGGGTGTGGCAGGGGAAGGATACTGCAAAATCTCCATTCCCACCCCACTCCAGGGGAAGGATATTGCAAAATCTCCATTCCAGGGGTGGGTTCTAAAATTTTTTACTCCCGGTATTGTGAGCGTGACTTATTTTGTGGGCGTGGCTTGATGGTCATGTGACAATTCTTTAGGATTTAGCAGAGGTACTGGTCTACCAGGCTTTTAACTCCTTGCAGAGCTGTACCCGTCTTCTCATTTGTTTTTGGAGGCCCTGGTCTACCCATTTATTTTTGCAGGCACCGGTCTACTCATTTGTTTTTGGAGGCACCGGTCTACCACCACACTGCCTTTTAACACTGATCAGATGTAGGGCGGCCTTTGAAGCTCCGCGGCAAGAGTTTTAAACAGTTTTTTTCCTTCTAGCCGATCAGCTGGGACTCAGGAGGCAGCAATAGATTGGGGGTGGGGCCAAATAAAAGGTAAGAATAATGCAGGGGGCGGGGGGTGGGGGGGCAGAACCGTTTCGGTGACATCATATTGTCACCGCTACTGGCTCAGCGAAACCGGCCCGAACCGGGAGGAACCCACCACTGCTCCATTCCCACCCCACTCTGGGTCCAGCCAGAGGTGGCATTTGCCAGTTCTCTGAACTGCTCAAAATTTCCACTACCGGTTCTCCAGAACCTGTCAGAACCTCCTGGATTTCACCCGTGTTTTCCTGGATCATGGGCTGCATGACCTACATATAGGATTCTTGGCAAGGGATGGACTGCACCTCATGAAAACAGAGAGGGAAATGTACTCGGAAAATGACTGGCCCAACTCCTCAGAAGAGATTTAAACTAAAATTGAGGGAGGTGGGTGACCAGTCTTTAGAGTCTCTAGAACACAAAACCAATCATAAACCCCAAGAAAAGAAATCAAACAATGAGGTAGGGAGTGATGAGGGGGGAGGGAAATCTTAAACACCAAGTAGGAGAGGCAGGAAACATACCCATAGATAGGCATAAAAGTCTCAAATGTTTATATAGAAATGCTCAAAGTTTGGGGAACAAACAGGGTGAACTAGAAGCAGTAATACAGGAGGGTAGGTATGACATAGTTGCCATTACAGAAACCTGGTGGGGCGAAACCCATGACTGGAATGTACTGATGGATGGATATAAATTGTTAAAAAAAAACAGATCTACAAAAAGAGGAGGTGGGGTTGCACTATATAGTAACAGTAACAGAGTTGGAAGGGACGTTGGAGGTCAACTAGTCCAACCCCCTACTCTCAAGCAGGAGACTTATACTAGGGATTCGAACTGCCGAACTTTCTGATCGACATGCTCAGCCTCTTAGCCACTGAGCCACCTAGCCACCTCTCAATATGTAAGAGATCACTACATATCTACAGAAATGCACATGATCAAAGATAAAAACCCGCTAGAATACAGATAGGTCAATATAAAAGAGTGACATTGCCATAGGTGTATACCCAACCAATCAGAAGAAATGGGTGGATTTTTTGCCAGCCAGTTAACAAATGTATGTAGGAAACATACCACAGTAGTAATGGGAGACTTTAATTACCCGGCTATCAACTGGGAGACAAATTCTGTGGGAGATCCAACAGATTCCTAACCAACCTAGCTGACAAAAGGTAGAGGAGGAAACTAGCAGAAAATTTATACTGGACCTAATTGTTATTTATAGAGAAGAAGTGATAGTGAGCCAGGCTAAGATTCGATATTGGATAAAACTCAATTATTAGAAAGCCAAATCTTTGGTCAAGACAGAAGTGCCTCTTCCGTGCCAATGTGCTGAGATGACAAATGGTATTTGAAGTAGGTACAGAATTGTAAAAGGGCAAACTGACCCTAAACAGATACATCCTGTTGTTTAATGTTTATTGCACTCCAAATGTCATGTAGATTCTAGAGAAGAAATACTGCTTTCCTTACTGTCCTCTTTACTGCTTGTGAGGCGCCTTTGAGCCCCTTATCTCCTTTTATTATGTCTTGAGCTCCGGAGCTGAAAACCTGAGCCTGTGGGAACAGGGCTGTTATGTCTTTCCTAGAGATAGATTAAAGGGTAACTTCTACGTGTGAAATGTCGCACTCTTCGTAATAACTTTGCCTTTATACTGTATAAATATCTGGTCAAAATCAGCCATCTTTGTTCAGACCTTTTGGACTGTTTGAACCTTGCGCAATAAACTCTTTCCTGCATTAAAGAGCTTGGCCTAGTCCGTCACTTTTTTCTACAACAATAGAGGGAGTTAAAGTTGCTAGAACCTTGGGTGAGAATGACCACATTATATTGGAGTTCAATATAATGCAAACACAAGCAACAGAACATAATCTAAACAGTGTCTTAAACTTTAAAAGAGCTGATTTTAACAAACTCAGCGAGATCCTAGGAAAGATTCCATGGATGAAAATCCTACAGGGGAAATTAATTCAAGAAGCATGGGAAACTGAAAAAATATGATCATAAAAGCCAGTCTAGCACAATACGACTGAAAAAGAAAAACAAGAAATCCAAAAAGAAACCAGTATAGTTGCACAAAGATCTCTCTGATAAACTGAAAGACAAAAAGAACAAGTACAAAATAAATGGAGGGAAGGACACATAACTAAGGCAGAATATCAGCAGATAGCCTGAATCCGCAAAGATAAAGACAGGAAAGCAAAGTTCAGAATGAATAGACTTGCAACAAAAGTCAAAGATAATTTTAAAAGTTTCTTTCAACATATTTATAATAAGAAAAATGTCAAGGAAACAGTCAGTCCACTAATTTGCAGATGACAGTAGGCTGGCAGGAATACCCAACACCCCAAAAGACAAGCTCAGGTCCTGGATGCAAGAATAAGAAAGAATAAGGATCTTGACAGATTTGAACAATGGGCCCTATCCAACAAAACGAATTTTAATGTGGAGGAGCCAAAAAAGCTAATACAATCCTTGGTTGTATAAACGGAAGCATAGAATCAAAACCGCGTGAAGTATTAATACCACTTTATAAAATCTTAGTAAGGCCACACCTGGAATACTGCATCCAGTTTTGGTCCCCACATTACTAAAAAGATGTTGAGACTTTGGAAGAAGTGCAAAGAAGAGCAACTAAGAAGATTAAAGGCCTGGAGGCTAAAACATATGAAGAATGGTTGCAGGATTTGGGTTTGGCTAGTCTAGAGAAAAGAAGGACTAGAGGTGACATGATAGCAGTTTTCCAGTATTTGAGGGGCTGCCACAAAGAAGAGCGGGGTGACTTAGTTTCCAAAGCACAGAGAGTAGGACAAGAAACAATGGATGGAAACCAATCAAGGAGAGAAGCAACCTGGAATTAAGGTTGCTAACAGTGAGGACAATTAACCAGTGGAACAACTTGTCTTCAGAGGTTGTGGGTGATTCATCACTGGAGGTTTTTAAGAAGACATTGGGCAGCCACTTGTCTGAAGTGGTATAGTGTCTCATGCTTGAGCAGGGGGTTGGACTGGAAGACCTCCAAGGTCCCTTCCAGCTACTAGCCTATTACCCTTTCTTAGATCCAAGGTCCGTTATCAAATCACTTCAGAGGATAATGAGTCCCCTTTTTTGACAGGAGACAAGCAAGCATACAAGAAGGCATAATAACCCTTAGCCTTCTAAAATCACCAGGGAGTATTGCAGTGAACTAAGAGTTAAAATTAACTCATTTGTTAGTGTAAGTCTGTAAATGACACCATCAGGGGAGGGGAAAAAGAAAGGAGGGGAAAAGGATTTTTTATAGAAACAATTCATATGATATTCATTTCACTTCCATTCAGGATACTTTGAATATGAAATGTAACAGAAAACCATTACTATATACATATTGTTGTTCATCAGTTCAGAAATTGGTTTTATTTTTTTAACTCAGATTGGATTTCTAAACTTCTTTCTGTGGCACTTGGAGGCAAGTATTTTTTTCCCTTCGTTTGCAATACTTTGAAAAAACAATTCCTATTAAACAGAATTAATGTGCATGTAAGGTATGGGTAGGAGATTGTTTTTCCTGACAAGATTAGCCAAAAGTATTCTATGGATAGAATGGAATAGGAATAGAAATAGAAATAATAGAAAAAGAAAAAGGAAAACGGAGTTGGAAGGGACCTTGGAGGTCTTCTAGTCCAACCCCCTGCTTAAGTAGGAAACCCTATACCATTTCAGACAAATGGTTGTCCAATCTCTTCTTAAAAATTTCCAGTGTTGGAGCATTCACAACTTCTGCAGGCAAGTTGTTTCACTTATTGATTGTTCTAACTGTCAGGAAATTTCTCCTTAGTTCTAGGTTGCTTCTCTCCTTGATTAGTTTCCACCCTTTGCTTCTTGTCCTGCCCTCAGGTGCTTTGGAAAATAGCTTGACTCCCTCTTCTTTGTGTTCTTTATTACAGTTAGTTAAAAGTACCTCCTTACATTTATATACACTTGATGCAGAAATTTTGTTTGTTTCAATTTGTATAGTTGTCCATCTCGCATAACTGAGTTGCATGCTTGTTTGTTCCATTCTAGGCTTGTTCAGATTATTTTAATATTCAAGGATGGATTAGTAAATACAGTATATAGATAATTGATATTTATTTGTCTACTGTGTCATTTGGCTAAAGATATTTGCTGCCTGGAGCCGAGAAACAGAAAGAAAAATTGTGCCATTTCTGGCAGGAAACAGATGTCCTGTTCTGTGTTGTGCTGTATAAACATGATTATATTTGGGGAACACACTCCCTATTCGATAAGCATTTCAGCAGTAGGCTTCATCTCTTTCTTCCCACCAAAGCTCTGTGAAATACATTATAAATTAGTTATCTTTTCTCCCTCCCTCCCTCCCTCCCTCTCTCTCTCTCTTTTTGCTTTTCCTTTTGCAGAAAAAGGCAAAAGCTGTAATTCTGGCCTTTTTTCCCCCAATTCTGGAAGGAGAGTGGATTTATACTATCGGTTCAGGTATGTGATCACAACTTAGTTTTGTAGCAAAGTCCAAAGTTCTTGTCTTCATTGAAGTTGTGAATTAAACAACCCCCAGTTTGACTATGGCACAATGTAGAATGGAATGGAATGGAATGGAATGGAATGGAATAGAATAGAATAGAATAGAATAGAATAGAATAGAATAGAATAGAATGGAATGGAATGGAATGGAATGGAATGGAATGGAATGGAATGGAATAGAATGGAATAGAATAGAATAGAATAGAATAGAATAGAATAGAATAGAATAGAATAGAATAGAATAGAGGTAGAAGTAGAAGTAGAAGTAGAAGTAGAAGTAGAAGTAGAAGTAGAAGTAGAAGTAGAAGTGGCAGCCTTCTTTGTGGCAGCCCCCAATCCTTCTTTTCATCGAACTAGACATACCCAGTCCAGGGGTGGGTTCTACTTACCTTTACTACCGGTTCACAGTGGGGCCGCGCGCATGCGCAGAAGCGTTTTGATGATGTCGGGATCAGTGGGCGGAGCCTCCTGCCAGTTTTACTACTGGTTCTATAGAACCGGTGCAAACCGGGGCAACCCACCACTGACCCAGTCCCAGCAACCGTTCTTTATACAACCATTCTTTACCCTCCAGTCATCTTTGTTCCTCTTCTCTACACTCTTTCTAGAGTCTCCACATCTTTTTTTACATTGTGGCAGTGGTGGGTTCCTCTTGGTTTGGCCGGGTTTCCGCGAGCCGGTAGCGGTGATGATATGACGTCACCGAACTGGTTCGCCCCCCCCCGCCCCCCCTGCATTATTCTTACCTTTTATTTGGCCCCACTCCCAATCTATTGCTGCCTCCTGAGTCCCAGCTGATGGCTAGAGGGAAAAAAACTGTTTAAACTCTTGCTGCGGAGCTTCAAAGGGCCGCCCTACAGCTGATCAGTGTTAAAAGAAAACAAATGAGTAGACCGGTGTCTGCAAAAATAAATGGGTAGACCCAGTGGTGGGATTCTACTTCGGTAGAACCGGTTGTTAAGTAGTTAAGACAGTAGTTCCCAAAGTGGGCGGTACCATGCCTTAGGGGGGCGGTAAGAGGCAAGGGGTGGCGGCAGGGGAGTGCTAGAGGCAAAAGGGGGCGACAGGGGGGCACTAAGTGGCAAGGAGGGTGGCCCCCACCCTTTGGCCTGTGCCTTGCAGCAAGTACCTCCTTGCAAGCAAACAGCAAGAAAAAACAACTCCTTTCAGCTTCAGCATAGGCTAATTAGCCCTTTGATGCCTCCCGACTCTCAGCTGATTTGCTCTCAGCTATTTTGTGCAGGGCTCAGCTGCTTGCTGCAAAGAGTTAAATTGCTGGAGCAGATTTTTTTTTTTCTCCTTATGCAAATCAAGCTGAAAACAAAATTGAAAGTATAGCAGGGTGTTGGCTGTTAAATTGGAAAATTAGGCAGAGGCAGATTTCTTTTCTTTTTCCTCACCAAAAAAGGTAGGTGCAAACAATGGGAAATTTAGGGCAAAAGAGGAGAGTTCAAGATTTTAAAACACAAAAGAAAAAAAGCTCTATTTAACTAGGGAATTGTAATAATTGAGATACTATTAATTGTATATTGTGTTGAAAGCAGAAATGGTTAAGTTGTGGTTTGGAGGAATATATGGGGGAAATTATTTGGTTTATTATTATTGATAAATATAATTAATTGATTAATTAATTTGTAAGACATTGGATTGCATGGAAATAATTGGAATATTCATGTTCATATTGATTAATATACAAAAAAGATAGTTATATAACTAATTGATTTATATTAAAATGTTGAATTTGTATTAAATAACTGTAATATTACATAATTAACCAATGTGAGGATGGATATAAAAATAGATGACAATGGGAAGGGGTATAATATAGAATAGAAGAAAAAAATTGAATTTGATTAAGATTAGAGATGAGGATGAAGGGAAATATTGGTTTTTTTAAAAAAATAGATGAGGAATAAATATGGAAAAAAGGAAATATAGAAATTGTAAATTTAATTGAAATGACTGAACACTGTTTAAATTTGTGAACCGGCCAAATACTCTGTTCAAAGAAAATACATTGTATGTTTGTATGTGTGTTTCTAATTATTGCTATTTATTCATATTTGTTCTCTTTTATTCTTTAAAGTTTAACAATTCATTCTTTATCTTAATATCTTTATATTTGTTTGGGGTTGCCTTTCTTCCCTTTCATCTTTTTTATTGTACAGCAATCTTTCTCCTCAAACCTACCACCTCTCTCTTTTCTTTCCTTCTTACTTTCTCTTCCCCCCTTCTTCTCCTTCCTACTTCCTCTTCCTTTCTCCTTCTCCTCCTCTCTTCCTCCCTCTCTTACCCTCACTCCTACTCTAATTTCCCTTCCCTTCCTTCCTCCCTTCTCTTCCTTCCCTCTCTCTCCTTCCTTCTTCCATCTCTCTTTTCCTTCCTTCATCCCTCTCTATTGCTGTATCCTTTTGTGCATATGGATTACTCAGAGGGCTGAAAAAGTTATTTTTGACTGGTCCTCGTACTTTTGACCAGTCCTCGAACTTACAACTGTCCTCCCATTTTATGTTTTTTGTCCTATCTTGTCACCATGGTGAAGAGAAGCAGTTGTGAAATGAGTGACACGGTTGTTAAGAATGCTACAATGGGCATAAATGATGATCAGTCATAAGTGCGAGGACCGGTCAAAAGTGCGAAGACCTGTCAGAAATCACTTTTTTCAGCCCTCTGGGTAGTCCTTTTGTGCATATGGACTACTCAGAGGGCTGAAAAAAATATTTTTGACTGGTCCTCGCACTTTTGACCAGTCCTCGAACTTACGACTGTCCTCACATTTTACATTTTTTGCCCTATCTTGTCACCATGGTGAAGAGAAGCAGTTGTGAAATGAGTGACATGGTTGTTAAGAATGCTGCACGGGCATAAGTGTGAGGATGGTCATAAGTGTGAGGACCAGTCATAAGTGCGAGGACCTGTCAGAAATGACTTTTTTCAGCCCTCTGAGTAGTCCCTATACATAGCCATGGCCACCCGGTCACATGACCAGCTAGCCACGCCCACCCAGTCACATGACCTCCAAGCCACGGCCACAAAATAAGCCACGCCCACAGAACTGGTAGTAAAAAAATTTAGAACCCACCCTGCATTGTGGAGACCAAAATTGGATGCAGTATTTCCAGTGTGGCCTTACCAAGGCATTATAAAGTGGCATTCACATGATCTTGATTCTATCCCTCTGTTTATGCAGCCTAGAACTGTGTTGGCAGCCAACATGAGATGAAATGTGCACTAAACTCACTTAATAACTGCCTTGCTTAGTAACAGAAATTTTGGGCTCAAATGTAGTCGTAAGTCAAGCACTACCTGTGAAGCATTATTTAAATCAGTAAAACCAAGCCAGGCTCCAAGGAAAGGTACTTTCATTTATGCGCATTATCTAACGCTGTCCCAAAGATGCTTTTTCAGGAGGCAACTGGACTTCCTTGTTTTTTCTTTTGAAGACGTTTCGCTTCTCATCCAAGAAGCTTGTTCAGCTCTGATAGGATAATGGGGAATGGAAGAGCTGTCAGAGCTGAACAAGCTTCTTGGATGAGAAGCAAAATGTCTTCAAAAACAACAACAACAAGGAAGTCCAGTTGCTTCCTGAAAAAGCACCTTTGGGTGACTCGAAATGACCTGGATGACTGAGAACATATACAGACTATTATCTAATGCTAATTGTCTGTCTAATGCTTCAATCCTAGGGATTTTAGGACTGAGTGTCAGGGATTGTCAGGGGTAGATGGGTTTCTCAGCTGAATTATTCTCAGCTTCAGGAGCTGCCTGGTCCCTGCTGCTGAATGCGACGTTATCAAATTCGAAAATCTGCTCCTTGGAAAATCCCCAAAGGAAGTGTAGCAGGGTGTGGACCGATTCACTCATGCTTCCTGCCTTGAACACTGAGGAAAATTAAAAGTAATCTGCAATGGTAAAGCCCCAGGAGGAATTTTTTGCTTTGTTTAAACGAACACAGCCCATTGTGCAGAAACATCACAGCACTCCAAGAGTGTTTTGCCTGTAAATCTCAATGCGCACTTATGCCGTTGCACAGGTAGGAACAGCCGTGCAAACTTCAACAACTTTCACCAAGCATGGTTCATCTATTCACCTATTCTTCTGCCACACTTGCAGTGCTGATCTGATGCCTGAGGTATATATTTGCAATCAACATGAGAATGTTTAGCTGTAGGCGATTGTTGTTGTAGAGCAATGAACTATGTTATCAACGTGACATGATTCAGAAATAGAGTGCAGTTTTACGGGGAAAGACTACCGTGCTTTGTATTTTTGAGTTTAGCAGAAAAGATGGGTGGCACAAGAGATCATGTAAAACCTAGTGTACATCGAGCTAGAATTATTATTATTATTATTATAAACCTTTGTTCATTAAACATGAAGCTCAGTCAACTGAAACATTTAAAAATGTATCACAAATATTGACTGGCACGGATGGTTGATACGGGTTGCTGCCAGCATCATAGATATCAAACAAGTATCTTCTTAAAATGTACGATGTTCTGAGTAGCACAGTTTTTTGCAGCTCTGCTGGTGTTATTGCAGGAAGCTGCAATTTCTTGATGTATTTTGTAAAATTCTTGGACATGATACCAAGTGCCCCGATGACGATGGGTCTTCCTCAGTGGTGGGATTCAAATAATTTAACAACCGGTTCTCTGCCCTAATGATTTCTTCCAAAAGCTAGTTCACTAAACTGCTCAGAAAGTTAACAACCAGTTCAGTGGTGGGTTCCTCCTGGTTCCCGCGAGCCGGTAACGGTGACAATATGACATCACTGAACCAGTTCTCCCCCCCCCACGTTATTCTTACCTTTTATTTGGCCCCACTCCCAATCTATTGCTGCCTCCTGAGTCCCAGCTGATGGCTAGAGGGAAAAAAACTGTTTAAACTCTTGCTGCGGGGCTTCAAAGGGCTGCCCTACAGCTGATAGTGTTAAAAGAAAACAAATGAGTAGACCAGTGTCTGCAAAAATAAATGGGTAGACCCAGTGGTGGGATTCTACTTCGGTAGAACTGGTTGTTAAGTAGTTAAGCCAGTGGTTCCCAAAGTGGGCAGTACCATGCCTTAGGGGGGCGATAAGAGGCAAGGATGGTGGCAGGGGGGTACTAGAGGCAAAAGAGGGTGACAGGGAGGCACTAAGTGGCAAGGAGGGTGGCCCCCACCCTTTGGCCTGTGCCTTGCAGCAGTTACATCCTTGCAAGCAAACAGCAAGAAAAAACAACTCCTTTCAGCTTCAGCATAGGCTAATTAGTGGGTTGATTAGCATTGCCTCCCGACTCTCAGCTGTTTTGCTCTCATCTATTTTGGGTAGGGCTCACCTGCTTGCTGCAAAGAGTTAAATTGCTGGAGCAGATTTTTTTTTCTCCTTATGCAAATCAAGCTGAAAACGAAATTGAAAGTAAAGCAGGGCTGTTACTTTGGAAAATTAGGCAGAGGTAGATTTCTTTTCTTTTTCCTCACCAAAAAAGGTAGGTGCAAAAATGGGAAATTTAGGACAAAAGAGGAGAGTTCAAGATTTTAAAACACAAAAGAAAAAAAGCTCTATTTAACTAGGGAATTGTAATAATTGAGATACTATTAATTGTATATTGTGTTGAAAGCAGAAATGGTTAAGTTGTGGTTTGGAGGAATATATGGGGGAAATTATTTGGTTTATTATTATTGGTAAATATAATTAATTGATTTGTAAGAAATTGGATTGCATGGAAATAATTGGAATATTCATGTTCATATTGATTAATATACAAAAAAGATAGTTATATAACTAATTGATTTATATTAAAATGTTGAATTTGTATTAAACAAATGTAATATTACATAATTAACCAATGTGAGGATGGATATAAAAATAGATGACAATGGGAAGGGGTATAATAAAGAATAGAAGGGAAAAATTGAATTTGATTAAGATTAGAGATGAGGATGAAGGGTAATATTGTTTTTTTAAAAAAATAGATGAGAAATAAATATGGCAAAAAAGAAATATAGAAATGTGTTATAGAATAATACATTCTATAATATATTATTATAGAATATTCTATATTCTATAGAAATAATATATTTCTATAGAAATATAGAAATGTAAATTTAATTGAAATGACTAAACACTGTTTAAATTTGTGAACCAGCCAAATACTCAGTTCAAAGAAAATACATTGTATATTTGTATGTGTGTTTCTAATTATTGCTATTTATTCATATTTGTTCTCTTTTATTCTTTAAAGTTTAACAATTCATTCTTTATTTTAATATCTTTATATTTGTTTGGGGTTGCCTTTCTTCCCTTTCATCTTTTTTATTGTACAGCAATCTTTCTCCTCAAACCTACCACCTCTCTCTTTTCTTTCCTTCTTACTTTCTCTTCCCCGTCCTCTTCTTCTCCTCCCTACTTCCTCTTCCTTTCTCCTTCTCCTCCTCTCTTCCTCCCTCTCTTACCCTCACTCCTACTCTAATTTCCCTTCCCTTCCTTCATCCCTTCTCTTCCTTCCCTCTTCTCCTTCCTTCATCCCTCTCTACTGTTGTATCCTTTTGTGCATATGGATTACTCAGAAGGCTGAAAAAGTTATTTTTGACTGGTCCTCGCACTTTTGACCAGTCCTCCAATTTACGACTGTCCTCACATTTTACGTTTTTTGCCCTATCTTATCACCATGGTGAAGAGAAGCAGTTGTGAAATGAGTGACATGGTTGTTAAGAATGCTGCATGGGCATAAATGTGAGGATGGTCATAACTGTGAGGACCAGTCAAAAGTGCGAGGACCTGTCAGAAATGACTTTTTTCAGCCCTCTGAGTAGTCCCTATACACATAGTCATGGCCATCCGGTCACATGACCATATTTAATAAGAAAGCAATTGACAACCTGATGTTTTAGTCACATACAGATAATTCTCGGGAATCTGAATCAGAATTAGAGCTGGAAGGAACCTTGGAGGTCTTCAAGTCCGGCCCCCTGCTCAACCAGCAAATCCTTGATTAAAACAGTTCATTTAGTGAGCAAATGAAGTTATAAGATTAAAAAGGTAATTTATGACTGTTTTTCACACTTAGGACCATTGCAGCACCCCCATGGTCATGTGATCAATATTCAAACATTTAGCAACTGACTCATATTTATGACGGTTACAGTGTCCTGTGGTCATGCGATCCCCTTTTTGAGACCTTCTGACAAGCAAAGTCAATGGGGGGGGGGCGATTCATTTAACAACCATGTTGTTCTGACCTAGGCTTCCTGAGATAGTAAAAAGCTCACAATTAGTCCCCAAAACCCTCTTTTTATTTCAACGGCTGTGAATTCTGTTCATTCCCAGCCCGTGATGAGTCACAAATAGTTTGTAAAGAGTCCGACAGAAGTCTGCCACAGTCCTTCGGGATAAGGCTGATAAGCACCCGCCTTTATCTCCCTTGACACGCTGCCAAAGACCTAATTGGCAATTAGCTTTGCAAGGCCACGCGAAGCACAGAGTCAAAACAGAGCTTCAGAATTTAAACCGACCAGAACAAACAAAGTTGCTTCCTGCAAAGGCTCACGTGCTTTATGTCTTATGGGAGGGGCCAATCATCTCCAAGTTTTACTCCCGAGTCGCCCCTTTTGTCTTAACTGTTCCTGCTTTCTGGCAGCTCTGCGCATGTGTGCACTAGGAACAGGCTCCCCCTGTTCCTCTGCCTCGCTGACGTCAGAGTCTGGAGGCTCCAAAGTCAGCACATATCTCCCAGATGGCCCTGGCCCCATCTCTGCCTCTGACGCAGAGCCCTTGTCCAAGCCTTCCCCAGACTCAAGGACCGGCCCATGTTCCTCTCCAGACTCCTCACTGTCTGACTCTGCTGCCAGCTCCGCAGGCTGCTGGAGGACCCCAACACATGTTACTAACTTAACAACTGCAGATTCACTCAATAACTGTGGCAAGAAAGGTCGTATAATGGAACAAAAGCCACTCAATAAATGTCTCGCTTAGCAACAAAAAATGTGGGGCTCAATTGTGGTTTTAAGTTGAGGACTACCTGTATTTAGAATACCCAGAGACCGAGTAAATTTAAAGTAAGGACAAAAGTTTAGTGGTTATAATATAGATTTGTTAAACAATAGGATTAAATCATGATGTCAGGGTATGCTTATTTCTTGCAATTTAAGTGTGAAGTATACCTGATGTATATTTTGTAAATATGTACAAACACTGCACTTCTGATTTTAGTAGAGATTTGATGTTTTTAACCATAAAACTAATAAAGTATACTTAAATATATAGATATAGATTTGCTTTTCCTTACTTGCACAGGAGCATAGATTTGGGGGTTAAAATTGATCCAGAAGCCTGCCTGTTCTTTGAGTTGTCTTTGGATCCAGACTTGGCGCCGGGCAGTCTAATAAAGAAGGCTGTGGGTAAGTTGATTGTCAAGACTGGCAGCTGCTGGTGGGATTTTAGTGGGGAGGGAGGCTTTAGACAGGAATTTCGTCTTTTATTCGATTTGCTTACCTTCCTGCTTCACTAAGGTGACCAGACGTCCCGCTTTTGGCGGGACAGTCCCGCTTTTGAGCAATTTGTCCCGCATCCCGCGGCGTTTTAAAAAAGTCCCGATTTTTCATTCTGCCTCCTGGTTTCCGGCTGCCTCCTGAATCCCCGCTGATGGCTAGAGGGAAAAAAAACTCTTTAAACTCTTGCCGCGGGGCTTCAAAGGGCCGCCCTACGTTAATTAGCTTGGCTTCCCCCTCTCAGCTGATTTGCACAGGGCTCTGCTCTTGCTAAATTGCTCAGTTTTTTTTTCCTCTTTGTGCAAACCAAGCTCAAAACGAAATTGAAAGTAAAACAGGCTGTTGGCTTTGCGGTTTGCTTGCAAGGTTGGAAAATTAGGCAGCAGATTTATTTTCCTTTTCCTCACCAAAAAAGGTAAGTGCAAACAATGGAAAATTATTTAGGGCAAAAGAGGAGAGTTCAAGATTTTAAAACACAAAAGAAAAAAAAGCTCTTTTTAACTAGGGAATTGTAATAATTGAGATATTATTAATTGTATACTGTGTTGAAAGCAGAAATGGTTAAGTTGTGGTTTGGAGGAATATATGGGGGAAATTATTTGGTTTATTATTATTGGTAAGTATAATTAATTGATTTGTAAGAAATTGGATTGCATGGAAATAATTGGAATATTCATGTTCATATTGATTAATATACAAAAAAGATAGTTATATAACTAATTGATTTATATTAAAATGTTGAATTTGTATTAAACAACTGTATTACATAATTACATAATTAACCAATGTGAGGATGGATATAAAAATAGATGACAATGGGAAGGGGTATAAAATAGAATAGAAGGGAAAAATTGAATTTGATTAAGATTAGAGATGAGGATGAAGGGTAATATTGTTTTTTTAAAAAAATAGATGAGGAATAAATATGGCAAAAAGGAAATATAGAAATTGTAAATTTAATTGAAATGACTAAACACTGTTTAAATTTGTGAACCAGCCAAATATTCTGTTCAAAGAAAATACATTGTATGTATGTGTGTTTCTAATTATTGCTATTTATTCATATTTGTTCTCTTTTATTCTTTAAAGTTTAACAATTCATTCTTTATCTTAATATCTTTATATTTGTTTGGGGTTGGCTTTCTTCCCTTTCATCTTTTTTATTGTACAGCAATCTTTCTCCTCAAACCTACCACCTCTCTCTTTTCTTTTCTTCTTACTTTCTCTTCCCCCCCTCTTCTTCTCCTCCCTACTTCCTCTTCCTTTCTCCTTCTCCTCCTCTCTTCCTCCCTCTCTTAACCGTCACTCCTACTCTAATTTCCCTTCCCTTCCTTCATCCCTCTCTATTACTGTATCCTTTTATGCATATGGACTACTCAGAGGGCTGAAAAAGTTATTTTTGACTGGTCCTCGCACTTTTGACCAGTCCTCGAACTTACGACTGTCCTCACATTTTACATTTTTGCCCTATCTTGTCATCATGGTGAAGAGAAGCAGTTGTGAAATGAGTGACATGGTTGTTAAGAATGCTGCACGGGCATAAATGTGAGGATGGTCATAAGTGTGAGGACCAGTCAAAAGTGTGAGGACCTGTCAGAAATGACTTTTTTCAGCCCTCTGGTTAGTCCTTTTGTGCATATGGACTACTCAGAGGGCTGAAAAAATTATTTTTGACTGGTCCTCGCACTTTTGACCAGTCCTCGAACTTACGACTGTCCTCACATTTTACGTTTTTTGCCCTATATTGTCATCATGGTGAAGAGAAGCAGTTGTGAAATGAGTGACGTGGTTGTTAAGAATGCTGCACGGGCATAAATGTGAGGATGGTCATAAGTGTGAGGACCAGTCAAAAGTGTGAGGACCTGTCAGAAATGACTTTTTTCAGCCCTCTGGTTAGTCCTTTTGTGCATATGGACTACTCAGAGGGCTGAAAAAGTTATTTTTGACTGGTCCTCGCACTTTTGACCAGTCCTCGAACTTACGACTGTCCTCACATTTTACATTTTTGCCCTATCTTGTCATCATGGTGAAGAGAAGCAGTTGTGAAATGAGTGACATGGTTGTTAAGAATGCTGCACCGGCATAAATGTGAGGATGGTCATAAGTGTGAGGACCAGTCAAAAGTGTGAGGACCTGTCAGAAATGACTTTCCAGCCCTCTGAGTAGTCCCTATACACATAGCCATGGCCACCCGGTCACATGACCAGCTAGCCACGCCCACCCAGTCACATGGCCTCCAAGCCACGCCCACACAATAAGCCACGCCCACAATGGTGTCCCTCTTACCAATGTTAAAATCTGTTCACCTTACCCTATACACATAGCCATGGCCACCCGGTCACATGACCAGCTAGCCACGCCCACCCAGTCACATGACCAGCTAGCCACGCCACAAAATAAGCCACGCCCACAATGTCCCTCTTTACCAATGTTAAAATCTGGTCACCTTATGCTTCACCAGCTTCACGCCTAGGGTCACATATTCTCTGGGTTCCTTCCATTAAACAGCGCCATCTAGCGGGATCCAGGAGGTATGCCTTCTGTGTTTTAGTTGCCTGCCATACGGAACATCCTGGAATTTGCAGTGGGAGGTTCAGCAGGTGCTAAAGAGAGCCAAGAACAGTGTTTCTCAACCTTGGCAGCTTAAAGAAATGTGGACTTCAACATAGTTGGCTGGGGGATTCTGGGAGTTGAAGTCCACTAGCCAAGAGGGCCATCTACAGAATGAACTGGCTGGTGGACCAGACTGTAGTTTTAGAGATCAGCAAGGACTTTGGCTAGAAATACTGGAACTTCAGAAGTTGAGAAAAGAGTTGTTTTTCCTTCATTCAGAATCTCTTATCATCCTTGCATTTTAATTTGATTCCCTTAATTTTTTTTTTTACATAAACCATCAACTCCCTCATGTGGTGACTTAATTGCATTCCTTTGCCATCTGTACTTCTGCCTAAACCATGTCTTCAAAAGTTATGTTTTTGAGCCAGTCCTCAACCAGTCATAATGATTATTCATTCTAGGATCATTTTTTCAATACACTCCTATCTTGTGCTCACCAATCAAACTCATGCTTTCTAGCAAAATATTTTTCTCTCGACTTCAGGTTAATTCAGGATGTCATAAAATGTCCCCTCAAAATCTTCCATCAGTTTTCTTGCTTTCACTGGAAGGTAAAATGCAATTATCACCAACCTAGGAATTTCTACTTCAACCATTTAGGTTTCACCACAGCATCCTAAATCCCAATGTATACTTCCTGAAATATCTCCCAGACTTTTCATACATGACTAAATGTATACATTCACTTCCCTGAACATATTAAGGAACTCCACAAGATTATTAAGGAGAAACTTCCCAACAGTCAGGACAATTAACCAGTGGAACAGTTTGCCTTCAGCAGTTGTGGGTGCTTCATCACTGGAGGTTTTTAAGAAGAGACTGGACAATCACTTGTATAAAATTGTAGGGTCTCCTGCTTGAGCAAGGGGCTGGACTAGAAGACCTCCAAGATCCCTTCCAGCTCTATTCTGACTGATTGACTTTAAGATCGATTACGTTCTTGCTCCCTCTCTTTTTGGCGGGCTTCCTTTCAAGTCAAGTCTCGATTCCTAATAATTGCCTGGAGTAGCGCCTGCAGTTCTTAGTACAGATAGATGATTCACAATTTTAATGTTGAATATTTTTTACTAAACAGTTTCACTGTTTCAACTTGTGAGCATGAGTTGTGTCAGCGTCTCAGCACTGACATAGAAAAGGGAGGATGAAGCTTGAACTTTTGCCTGCTAAATCCCTTTGAAGATTCGGTCTCCTTGGAGATGAGGGGGGAAGCATTCCAGTGAACTGACGGGAAAAGGAATCAGGAGAGTGACTTGGAAGAAAGCCAATGTGAAGCAGAGAATTGGGGATCGGAAAGGGAGGGATTGGAGGGCAAAGGTCAGTATTGACCGCGAAGAGCCAGGATCCGGTTACTGTACTTGAATAAAGAGAAAATTTCCTTAAAGATTGGCAGTTTGGAAGTTCATTTATTTTGAGATAGCATCGAAGCCTGACAAGTTGCTTGAGAAGAGATAAGAGGCTATTATGAGGAAGGAGGGATATTCTCAGTTGAGATATATCAGTCTTGAATCTCTTCATGCGAGCATTAGCATACAATAAACCTATATTCATTTAATCTGCCTGGACTCCTGATTTCCTACACTTGACAGTTACTTTGTACAGTCACTCTGTTTTAGCCCCACCTATAGCTCAGGGTTATGATTGTGGAGTAAAATACAGAAAACTTAATGTGTGTGTATATCTATATATCTACATCTACATCTACATCTATCTATATTTATCAGATAGTCCTCGACTTTTTACTACAATGGAGCCCAAAAGTTCTGTTGTTAAGTGAGACATTTGCTAAGTGCATTTTGCCCCATTTTACAACCTTTCTTGCCACAGTTGTTAAATGAATCATTGCAGTTGATAAATTACTAATTTGACTGCTAAGTGAATCTGACTTCCTCATTGACTTTTTTTTTTTTTTTGTCAGAGGGTCACAAAAGGTGATAATTGAACCTTGGCATACAGCAACGGTCATAAATATGAAGCAGTTGCCAAGAATCTGAATTTTGATCACATGATTATGGTCAAAAAGCGGTCATAAGTCACTTTCTTTAGTGCTGTTGTAACTTTGAATGGTCACTAAATTAACTGTTGTAAGTCAAGCACTGTCTATCTTTCTTTCTCTCTCTCTATCTGCCTATACTGTCTGTCTATCTATCTATCTATCTATCTATCTATCTATCTATCTATCTATCTATCTATCTATCTATCTATCTATCTATCTATCTATCATCCATCTGCCTATACCGTCCGTCCGTCCGTCCGTCCATCCATCCATCCATCCATCCATCCATCCATCCATCCATCCATCCATCCATCCATCTACCTACCTATACCAGTGATGGCTAACCTCTTTGCCATCGCGTGCCAAAAGTGGGGGGACCACGGGGAGGTTGCCCATGTGTGTGCCCATACCCCTAATTCAATGCGCCTCACCCCTGCACCTGTGCACACGTGCGCCCCCTGCTTTTAGAACATGATGGCACGGTGGGCCTGGTAAGCTTGTTTTTCACTCTTCCCAGACTCCAGAGGCTTTCTAGGAGCCTGGGGAGGGCGAAAACAGCCTTCCCCACTCCCCCGAAGGCCCTCCGGAGGCCGGAAACCACCCATTTCCCAACTTCCAGTGGGACCGAAAGGCCCAAAAATCAGCTGGCCGGCGCAGACATGTATGCTGGAGCTGAGCTATGGCAACACTTGCGTGCCCACTGATATGGCTCCATGTGCCATCTGTGGCACCCGTGCCATAGGTTCCCCATCACGGGCCTATACTGTCTGTCCGTCTGTCTGTCTGTCTGTCTGTCTGTCTGTCTGCCTATACCATCTGTCTATCTATCTATCTGGCTAGCTAGCTAGCTAGCTATCGTCTTTTCATTCAATCAATAAGCAGCTAAATAAACATGTATTTTTTTTTAAAAAAAATCAATAAAATATTTTTTTCTTCCTTTAAAAAAACAATTCCAGATAAACAGCATGCTAAATGTTCATCCTGAACTGTGCGCATTGATCTACAATCAGTATGAAGGATTATCCTTTGAAACCTAAGGCCAGAAATCTCAGACAAAAGGGACTATACATATTTTGATATGAATTAATAAATGACCCCCAAACAATCAAGCCTTAGAAAAAGAGTATTTTTTGGAATGTAGTGCATTCAAATAATTTGGAGCTATTCTAGAGTGGGAAGACCATGGCCGATACTTTTTCTTTGGTACTTTCCACTTGGAAGAAGAAAGTATTACTGTCACAGACCCATAAGCTGAATATTGACAGTTTAAACAACGTGAAGAAAAGCTGGGAGAATTTAGGAATGGATGAGGGGATGGGAAAATGTTTCAAAGAAGTAATGAAGAACTTTCCAAATGAGCCTTCATGGGTAATGAAAAATGCTCAGATGATTCTCAAGGGAGATGATGGGAAAGTGCTGTCTTTTGCTTCAGGAGAAAAAGAATGGAAAATCAATGTTTCTGCTGGAGACTACAAGTTCCGTGTGAAAGCCCCATCAAAATCTGCATATCTGGCCAGATTACGCTTTCGGCAGCAACCTCTTAGCACTGGATGTTTAAAAAAGGTAGAAGAAGACTTGAAGACATTTGGCCCATTGACTCCAGCTGAGAACAGTTGCTTTGAGATGGTACTCCAGCGGTTCTCCAAGAAACCGGATCAAATACAAAATAATGCCCAGATAAAATTAATCTTTGATACGGATGGAGAAAATGTGGAATATGTATTCATCTCAGGGAACGGAGATTACAAAATGGACGTTACTTATTCCAGTGGGCAACCTCAGTACAGTGAATTACATGTAAGTTCAGACAACAAACTAGAGAATTTCTCGTGTTCCCTTCAGACACTGGACGTTGGTAACTTGAGGGAAATTGAAAGTAAATTAGCCCAATTGGATTTGCTTACCGACAGCCTAAAATCATGTTTTAATCACCTTGTGGATAAATTGCCTGAATGTATCATTAAGAATAATCTCCAGATTGATTTCACCTGCGATGAGCAACGCCTATCTGTAAACTCCAAAGAGTGGAAGATCAACGCACAGAGTAATGACGGAAAAGTAGATTTTACCTTCAAATCAGAAATTTGGGAACAGTTTTTAAAGCAGAACAAGGGCAAACCACATGAGCTCACTGTGGAAAAACTGAAAGAAGTGCGGACACAAGTCCGGAACATGTCAACAGTACCCAAGCGTGTCAATGACACCTTCAACAAAGCAGTAAATGTATTTTGTGAGGAAACATCATATTTGCAAAAGAATGCTCACCTTGTTATTCAGTGTGACGGTGGAGAGTTGGATTTCATCTCTGGCAAAGGGCAGAACAAAATCGAAATATTCTACACAGATGACATCATTGATTCTAAGGTATTTCGTACTTGGTTAACGTTCATACTGAGTTTGCATAAACACATTCCAAAAGCTTTACCACCTATAATCCCAATAATACTACGACTGGTTCTATCTTGTTTGTGATGTCCCTTTCATCGAGGCCATTACTTGGGATAAAGCTGTTTCAATGAGGGTTAAATTGTATTGAACAGTGATTGCTGTAGGAACATCATTATTGCCACGTTTTAAATCTGCATTAGAATTTTTTTCTACCAGAAACTCACTCAGTTGGTTTTCCCAATAGGCGGAGGATGTACGTGCTTAGGTACTCGAAATTGACCCAATCAATTTACCGTATTTTTCGGAGTATAAGACGCACCTTCCCCCCCAAAAAAGGTGGTAAAAATTTAGGTACATCTTATACACTGAATGTAGCCCCGCCCACCCACTGGCCGCCACCCTTTGGCCTCTGCCTCGCAGCAGTTACCGCCTTGCAAGCAAACAGCTCCTTTTAGCTTCAGCACAACCTAATTAGCACAAGTTGATTGGATCGGCCTTCCAACTCTCAGCTGTTTTGCGCAGGGCTCTGCTGCTTGCTGCAAAGAGGTAAATTGCTGGAGCAGATTTTTTTTCTTCCTTGTGCTAATCAAGCTATGTTGAAAATGAAAATGAAAGTAAAGCAGGCTGTTTGCTGCAATGAGGCAAAATTGCTCAGAGGCAGAGGGAGATTTCTTTTTCTTCTTTTCCTCACCAAAAAAGGTAGGTGAGTCTTATACTACGGTGCGTCTTATACTCCGAAAAATACGGTAATTATTCTTTTAAGGCTGAACTTTAGGATACATTCTGGACAAAACTAAAATCTTATCTTTGGAGGAATTCATTTCAAGAAAGACCCCTATATGCAGTGGTGGAATTCAATTTTTTTTTTACTACCAGTTCTGTGGGCATGGCTTGGTGGGCGTGGTGTGGCTTGGTGGATATGGCAGGGGTATGGCAAAATCTTCATTCCCTCCCCACTCCAGGGGGAAGGATATTGCAAAATCCCCATTCCCACCCCACTCTGAGGCCAGCCAGAGGTGGTATTTGCCGGTTCTCCAAACTACTCAAAATTTCGGCTACCAGTTCTCCAGAACCTGTCAGAACCTGCTGAATAGCACCCCTGCCTTTATGTATATATATTGTACTAATTTTCATCTAACTGATGAGTGTGTCTATGTGCCTTGGAGTCAGTTTTGACCCCTGGAAACTGTCTGGATTTAATCCCTGCAGTTTTCTTGACAAGATTTCAGAAGTACTTTGCCATTGTCTCCTTCCTAGAGCTGAGAAAGAGTGAGTGGCCCAAGGTGACCCAGCTGGCTTTGTGGTCAAGGCAGGAGTAGAACTCACTGTGTCCTGATTTCTAGTCTGATGCCTTAACACTACAACATACTGGCTCTTGATAATGAGTAGCTAAACATGCATGTATTGTCTACACAGAATTCCTTGCAATTGTGACTTGCGTGGATACTTTTTCCTTCCCTTTTGATAAGGACCAGGTTGGATCAACTTGAGATCTAGTTGCTTATGTCAACTCATAAGGTTACTATAATCTAATTCAGTAGGTCCCTTCCTGTTTGTATCAGGCTACAGTCTGTGTAAGGGACGCAGTGGCTCAGTGGTTAAGATGCTGAGCTTGTCATTTGAAATGTTGGCAGTTCAGCGGTTCGAATCCCTAGTGCTGTATAAAGGGGTGAGTTCCCGTTACTTGTCCCAGCTTCTGCCAACCTAGCAGTTCGAAAGCACGTAAAAAATGCAAGTAGAAAAATAGGAACCACCTTTGATAGGAAGGTAACAGCATTCCGTGCGCCTTTGGCGTTTAATCATGCCGGCCACATGACCACGGAGACGTCTTCCGACAGCGCTGGCTCTTCGGCTTTGAAACGGGGATGAGAACCGCCCCCTAGAGTCGGGAATAACTAGCACAGATGTGCGAGGGGAACCTTTAACTTTTTACAGTCTGTGTGTTCTGCTTATTTCATATTTTCCCTTTTTAACCAAACTCCCTCTATACCATGATTTAGCAGTGTTCCAGCATAGTCACTATTTGATGGATTGGACTACAAAGTTTTAAGAGAAACAGAAAAAAAAATTCCATTCAGGTAAAGTTTTTATTTGCTTTCTTCAGCAGTACAAAAACTAGTTTTCAGCTGTTAAAGGTAAAAAGAGAGATTTCAGGAGTAAACAAAAATAAATCCAGCCTCCACCACATAATTTTGTGAAAAACTTTTATTTATTTACATTTCCTATTTTTTAACTGCCCATCTCCTTCAGAGAAGGATTGTTTTCTCCACTTCTGTTCCTCTTACCAAAATATTTATAAAGTACTGAAGCTGAAATAATTTTTTTTCTGAACTTGTTTAAAATTTGGTAAACGTGTACTCCTAAAATTAATTCCGAACTTATAACCTCTTCAACCATTTAAAATTTTTAAAGACTCAGGAGTGGGAGCTGATAACACATACTATCTAAAATATTTCTGTATTAGGGATATTCCTAAAGCAGGAGAACAATTACAAATAATTTTAGAAAATTTGGCTAGTGCATGATTTCAAATATGTCAAATATTGTATTTCACCGCAATCCTGAAAATGAGAATACAAGCTACTATAACCATGGTTAAATTTGAAATTAGGTTAATTTCATCTCTAACAGAGATGGAGTAGGGAGAATCTCAAGCATTTTTAAAAATGATATTAAAAACATAAACTTCTTTGATAGGTTCAAAGACATATAGGAATCAGATATAAAAGTTTCTTTACCTTTAATTTTATGGTTATCAATCTGAAACAGAAAACCACTGAAATCAGTTATTAATAAAATTAAGGAAAATTCAATGAGTATTTTAGAAATGGTATTTAAATCTAAGATATAACCTAAATGACCTTTTAGAGCAGCGGACACCAACTGGTGGTCCACAAGAAAATTTTGGTGGTCCACAGAAAAATTATTTGCATTTTTTATATTGCACTAAATCAGGGGTCCTCAAACTATGCTCCCTGGGATGGAGACTTGCAATGAACATTGCTGCAGAGAGTCTCTCCCTTCGAGGTCTTTTTGTGTGGATTGGAGTGGGGCAGAAATTCCAACTTGGGGTCTGCTTCGGCCTCCTGGTGCGGGGCTTTGGGTGAAGACTGGAGGGAAGCGCCGCTGGTGGCGAAGAGCCAGTGGGACTGCATCATGGCCTGGAACTGGCTGACCATCTCAGCCTGCTGAGCCTCCAGGCACCAATACCTGGCCTTGCACTCCTGCAGGTCTTCCCTCTGCTTGGAAAGCCTATGCTCATAGTCCTCAATGAGGTGCTTCTGCTGAACCTCCTTCTCAGTCAGATCCAATTTGAACTGAGCCAGCTGTTTTGCCAACTCTCTCATGACTGCTATTTAGCTCCAACAACTGCTTCCTGTTGGGGCCCTAAGGAGCCCGGGCAGGCAAGCAAGTAGTAGTGAGTAGAGGCTGGCAAGGCGCCCCTCAACGTGACATCGAGTTGGCCACGCCCACCCAGTCACATGACCATTTTGCCAGCCAATCATTAGGCAGATCACATATGTGGTCCGCAGGATTTAAAATTATGAATTTAGTGGTCCTTAAGATCCAAAAGGTTGGTGACCCCTGTTTTAGAGCAATAGCACTTAGACTTATATACCGCTTCATAGTGCATTACTGCCCTAAGTGGTTTGCAGAGTCAGCATATTGCCCCCAGCAATCTGGGTCCTCATTTTACCCACCTTGGAAGAATGGAAAGCTGAGTCAATGGAAGGCTTGAGTCTGGTGAGATTCGATCTGCCAAACGGCTGGCAGCCGGTGATCAGCAGAAGTAGCCTGCAGTACTGCACTCTAACCACTGTGCCACTGGAAAAGCATATCAAAATAAAGACATCAGCATTATGCTGATTATTTTAATTCTACCTGGTTTAAATTTATTATTTACTAGATCACTGGGTCATCATTTCTAAACAGAAAAACAGAATGACCCCAGGTGGGAGAGGTTGCAACTTCCAAACTTCCTCCCATCATCCCCACTGAGTTTTATTAAATTAATTTTTTAAAAAAATTAAAGTAAAACTTCATGTGAAATATGAAAGGACTCCTTACATTGAGCAGGGGATTGGACAAGAAGGCCTCTGAGGTCCCTTAAAGGCTGATTCCACATTCTATGTTCTAAATAGTTAACTGTTCCCCGATTTTATTTGTCTCAATGTTTTTCCTATCTGTTGATTCCAAGCTACCAATTCAACTCCACCTTCGTGAGCCATTCTAAGACTTAAGAAGATTATGTTTACCTAAACATCTTCCCACTTTATTCTTCCTGAGTCCTGGATCAATGTAACTTTTTTTCTCCATTACATTTTTCTTCTTTTGCCTATTAAAATCAATAGCTCAGTAATGGGGGAGGGGGGGAGAAGGGAGATAGCTTTTTGCTGCCCTGAATGAAAAAGAAAGAAAGATAGATCAATCTGGTCATTTCAAATACTAAATTATACTATGAATGGGATTCCTTCCAGATGTGAAATTTAGGAATTGCCACCAAGTCCAATTCAATCACATAACGATTACCTCCTAAAGCATTCCAGCTAACAAGATCTCCCTTCTGCTTCTGTGCCTCCTTACTAATGGTTAGTATGCACACAAGGTCAAAGAACACAGTTATGAATAAAGGAAGATAAATTAATGCAAGTAAATGGGGAAAAAATTAGCTGCAAGTAAGACACCTGTGGTATAATGTCAAATATCAAATTACTGTATTTAGTCACAGATAAGTCAAGAATTTGAGGGTCAAAGTAGACCCCCCCCCATTGGATTTGGCTTATCCATGGTTGAGCTTCATCTGTGAGTAAATACCATAATACATTTTTTAAAAGTTTTCATATATACTTAAATATAATCTCATCAGCAGTGAGCAATTTGGTGTAGTGGTTAAGGCTTTAGGCTACAAACTAGGAGACTTGAGTTCTAATCCCACTTCGTTGACGACACCAAGCTACATGGGTTTCGGTCCTTGGTCCAATCACTTTCTCTCAGCCCTAGGAAGGAGGCAATGGCAAACTAATTCTTAAAAAAAAAAACTTGCCAAGAAAAGACAGGATTGACGGGGAAAGCCCATCTGCAGGTAAGTCAATCTTCACATTTTCAACCAAATAACCATGAAAAATGCACACACACACACACACACACACACACACACACACCGGATTGGCTAATCGTGAAAATTAAAGCATGAAAAATTTGAGGGTCAGTTTATTGTGGATGGGCTTATCTGCAAGAATCTATATGATCTGTTAAAATACATGCTCCCATTGCTAGGTATGATGCTTAACATAGCAATAGCACATAGACTCATATACCGCTTCACAGTGTTTCTTAACAGCCCTCTCTAAGCAGTTTAAGAGTCAGAATATTTCCCCTAACAATCTGGGGGAACAATCCTCATTTTATCAAACTCGAAGGATGAAAGGTTGAGTCAACCTTGAGATAGTGAGAATTGAACTGCTGGCAATCGGTAGAATTAGCCTGCAATACTGCATTCTAACCACTGCATCATCGCGACTTAGAGGCAGCGGTATTTAAAATAAATATTTATTTATATTTACTAGTATCCTGTGCTATAACCTAATCCAGACAGTTATCCTTCTAGGGAGGAGCAATAAAGTAATGCAACAAGAGACCACAATATTGCAGTTTAAGGTACACATAGATAATATCAATGATACTAAAAAAGCAACCTTATGTATACATTTTTTCCCTTCCCCTTTTTTTCCTTTTGCACTTTTTATTTTATATATTTTTTAAAAAATACTTTGTATTAGGGTAACTAATACAAAGTAACTAATACTTTGTATTAGTATCAGGAAAGATTCTGCAAGTATGAAGTATAATAAAGAAATCACTTCAATAGCTCATCAAAGCATTCAGAAGAAGGCAGTTTTATTGTATTCTTACTGTTTCAAATGTTAATTAACCAAACCTATATAATCTGAAGGATATTTTGCTCTGGAATCACTTTCCTGCTGTAAGCGTTATTTCAATAAAGTATACTTCATTGCACCTATCTCCAAATGTTTCAGTTTTTATTTCATCCTTCCTTTAACCCCACAACTCAACTGACTATATTGCCAAGACCTGAAAAATTAGTTGGCTTATTTGCACCACAAATGACGAATGGTTGGAGGAATTGGGTATGTCTAGTCTTAATGAAAAGAAGGACTAGAGATGACATGATAGCATTGTTCCAATACCTGTCTGAAAGAAGAGATCAAAAAAGAGACTGGACAATCATTTGTTTGAAATGATAAAAGAGTACCTCTCCAAATTATTTCCCTTGCCACTCTTGAGTTGCAGGTGGTGGGTTTAGCTCTTAAACAGCATTCTCCGTCCCCAAAGACAATAGAGAAATTTTATTTCTCTTGCAAGAGGTCTGGCATCACCCCTGCTAGTAAATAAAGAATGTCCCTTCCCGGTTGCATCCAGTCCCTAAAGCTTAGATTCTGGAATCTGATCATTTGATCAGACTCCAGAATTTGATCTGATCGTTGGGGTTATTGCTTTTGATATCCCCAACGATCAAAGATAAAAAACCATATTTTATATATGTTGATAATTTTTATGTTTGGAGATGAGCATTTGATCGTTGGGGATATTGCTCCCTCGGAGGCACCAGGACGGGCGCATGGCTTCGAGAAGAGAAAATCTACGCTCACTCAAGCTTATTCCCGCAGCAACTTCCCGAGCTACCATTCCACTCCAGGGGATGAAACGAGAGGGCTTCGCCCTAGAGCGGCAACACTCCTAGTGTAGCTCACTTCCTGCCCTCGCCTTCAAAATCCCACTTCAGCCTGGCAGAAAAGCGCATGCGCCGTTCGACTTTGAAGCTAGACTGCTGCCAGGACTTTAGGGTTCAAAAGAGGAGAACTACGGTAGCAGCTTAATTCGGTTTACCCAAAATATGCTTTTTCTTTTTTTTTCTTTCAGGAGGCAACTGGGCTTTCTTGGGTTTTTTTTCTTTGGAGACGTTTCGCTTCTCATCCAAGAAGTTTGTTCAGCTCTAACAGGATAGTGGGGAATGGAAGCTCTGAATTCTGTCGGAACTGAAGAAGCTTCTTGGATGAGAAGCGAAACGTCTTCAAAGAAAAAAAAAACAAGAAAGTCCAGTTGACTCTTGGAAAAAAAAAAAAAGCACCTTTGGGGACAACCATGACCTGGATGACTGAAAATCTCTACAGACTTTTTATTCGGTTTAGCTACATTAAAAGCGAAACGAGTTGGTAAATGGAGATTCTCAGTCATCCAGGTCACGGTTGTCCCCAAAGGGGTTTTTTTCCACTTGCCTCTTGGGGGAAAAAAAACAAACATTGGGGAACAAACGAGTTGATATTTTTTCCGGAGTTGTCATTCAGGGCCTTTGAACTCAAATAGTATTCAATAGTTGCAAATAGTTGCAAATAGTTTTGTTATGGTAATAAGTCTTTCCCTGACATTAAAAAAATTCAACGATCCAACACATTGAGATTTAAAACTTGAGAGTTTTGGAAAATATAATTTCTGGCCGCATAGTTTCTCCTCTTCCCCCATTCCATGAACATTCACACTGTCAACACAGAGATAAACATCCATACAAGGAGGGGGGGGGGAGGCTAAAAGATTTTTTAGATTCAGAGACCTTAAAAAAAATCTGTTTTATGTTGCAGAGACACAGTCTCTTAATTCTTTGTTGCCACCTACTGCCTGTAGACCTACTGCCCGTTTTAAGACTTGTGGACTTCAACTCCCAGAATTCTCCAGCCAGCTATGGCTGGAGAATTCTGGGAGTTGAAGTCGACAAGTCTTAAAGTTGCCAAGTTTGAAGACCTCTGCTGTAGACAATCAAGGGATCGATCTGTATAGCTTTACGAATTAAGAGTTTGCGGCAGGAAAGAATAAACATTGCAGTGCGCCTGAATCAAATCCACAAAAGTTAGTTTCGCTGCAAACGCCAAATAATTCGGGGAGGGTCCCCCCCCCCAGTTTCAGGGACGCTTTTAGCTGCTCTTACTATGAATTCAAATTCAAATTCAAACTCAAATCTTTATTGTCAGTGCACAACATATGTACAATGAGATTGGTTGAGCTCCCTCAGTGCACCCCCACCCACAACACAATACAATTTACACTGAAGACAGAAAATCCCTAACCGAATAAATCATATTAACAAAAACACCCAGTCCTATTTGCACCAGAGTGAACATGCACGAAGCCTGCAAATTAGTTAACAGTCATAAGGAGCTTCCTTTCCCCTTTTTTTGCTCCTTGGGGACTTGGCAAGGGAAAATCTCTTCCTCTTTTTCTAAGAAACGGAGGGATCCTGTCCCTTCTATGGGGCTGCCTGAACGTGCAGATTTTGACTTTGCACCCTGCGCTTTTCTTTCTTGCACCACACATGGAAAGAGAACTTAAGAGGATTTCTCCCCTCCCAAGCTCTCCCACCATCCAGATTCCCTTTAAATATTCGCCTTCACTTAATTTTTGGTATTTTCTTTCCGGAGAGCCAACGCGGCAGTCACTTGTTTTGAAAGCAAAGACACACCGCGACTTTACTCTTTTTTTTTCTTTTTCTTTCTCTTACTCTTTCTTCTTTTCTCACGGGGCCGGTCATTCGAAGGGTTAAAATAAAAGAGCGCTTCTTCCTAGACAGGAGAAATTCCAGCGGACGATCATGGTTTCCTCTCCCCGCCTCTATTACTCCCCATACGTAGCACACGTCCTCTCCGTCTATCAGCCAATGCTAACCGGCATGGAGCGCATGCTCAGTTCCATTTGGAAGCTGGACGAATGCCAGGTGTTCCAGGGTTCGCAATGAGAAGGTGATTCCCGGATTTTGCAAGTGGGATCCTGGATATTCTCAGAGAGGGTTAGGATCTGAGGATATACATGCATTTTTATGCAAATGCAGGCAGCTGCATTGTGTGAACAGCATTTTATGTACTGATAGAATTATTCTATTCCAGTCTATTGCGGTCGTATAGATAATAAGCACACTAAATGTTAGATAGGTTGTTTTACAGCTGTAGTTCAACACTAACATTTATGAGTGAGAGCCAGGATAAGTAACAATAAAAGTAACAGTAACAGTTGGAAGGTATCTTAGAGGTCATCTAGTCTAACCCCCCCCCCGCGCTCATGCAGGAGACCTATACTAGGGATTCGAACCGCCGACCTTTCTGATCGACAAGCTCAGTGTCTTAACCACTGAGCCTCCTAGGGAGCTACCGATACACATGATTATATAATGGATCACATAATTAATATATCATTAATTTAAATTAATATTATGTACAATGTACATTATTTCCCCTTTTCTCTAATACAACGTGTAATAGCATTAGAGCTAAAGAAAAGTTCAGAAGTTGAGAATCCTACAGAATTCATTTTATATTTCAGCTCATGAGAAGACTTTAAATCTTCCTCCCTTTTTGGTTTATTGATTGACTGATTGATGAGCCCCTTTACAGAGTTGGACAGCACAATTCATTTAACAACTTTCTTGCTTTGCAACAGAAATTTTGAGCTCAATTGTAGTCATAAATCAAGGAGTATCTGTACTTGAGCAACTCACTGGGTGGTTTTGGTCCTCCAATCTCTATCCATAATTTCACCCGTTTGCTTTTATGGAAATAAAGGAAATGGCAGTGTAATCACACTGAACTGCTAGGAAAGGGGAAGAAAATATACATCTGAGAAAGAGGAAGATTATCTCCCAGCTTAATATATTGTACCCAATTAATTGTTAAAATAAAGGAGTGTTTTGTTTCAGAGATTTTACTTCTGCAGGAAAGGCAAGCTATAAAAGCAATTAATCAAATTAGATCCTCCAGAGATGGCTAATGGTCAGAGGTAATAAATGTTTTACTTTAAACCATCCAGAGAACACACTTTGCATATTCTTCTGTATTAATATTTTTAAGACATAGTTATATTCTCTGCCTTTTTTGCAGATTTGATCATTTGGGGGGAAAGCTTTTTGATTGATCACAGTTCTAAAATCTTCCCAGTAGATGGCAGTCTCTTATGATTAAATTATACAAATAAAGGTAAAGGTTCATTAATGCTGAATTTGGCTTTTATGAGAAATAAAAGTTTGCCCGCAAATTGGAAGGTTTTGCATCCAATTTACTTAATGAAAATCAAGACAATCATCTAATGGCTTCATAGACCAACTTCCTAACCTCTAAGCTACACAGGTATCCATCAGATCCGTATTTGGCTATAAAATCAATAGGAACCATTTTGTACATAGAAAAGCATCAAAAATGGATAAATACAGCCCCCTGTGCACCACTTTGATCTCTGAGGGCTGGGAAAATAAGGAGCAGTAGTAAGGATTTTTTTTTTATTTATAATATATTTTAGCATACTGTTAATTAAAGTATTTCCAACATAGGACTAATAAACACAGTTACATTCTTGCACATTTTTACCCTTGGCCAAGTCCTAGTTTCTAGAAGCAACAGCAATAGCAATGGCACTTAGACTTATATACCGCTTCACAGTGCTTTACTACCCTCTCTAAGCGGCTTTACAGAGTCAGCATTTTGTCCCCAACAATCTGGGTCCTCGTTTTACCAACCTCAGAAGGATGGAAGGGTGAGTCAACCTTGAGCCTGGTGAGATTCGAACTGCCAAATTGCTGGCAGGAGGCAGCAGAAGTAGCCTGCAATACTGCACTCTAACCACTGCACCGCCACAGCTCTAAGAGTTAGCAAAGTTTATGTCTACGTGCCTTAGCTTGTATCCTTCTAATAGCGTCTTTCTAACTTTTATAGCTTTTTTGTTGCCATTGGTCTTATTACACTCATCTTGGCTGCAACTTTCTGCCTTGGCTATTCCTTTAACAAACTTCCCTAATTCCAACCTGAGACCTTCAATTTTTCAAATATTGCAAAGTCCATCCCACATGGTCTTCAGTGGACCCTGTAGCCAGCGAAGGCCTATGGGCTTGTGACAGTTTTCAGGCCTCCCAGGACCTCTCCCCAGCCCAGCACCGTTGCACAATTGCTTAACAATCGCTTTGCTCAATGACGGAGATTCTGGCTCCAGTTGTGATGGTAAATTGAGGATATCTGTAACAAGAGTGTCAGTGGCTATAAGTTCTATGACTTATATAACAAAACAAAATATTTAGAATTTATTGGACTTCGTTTGGTATATATAAAAAAGGATTGTCAGCAGTAGCATTTTATTGGAGATGTAATTATTATTATTATTATTATTATTATTATTATTATTATTATTATTATTATTATTATTATTATTATTATTATTATTATTATTATTTATTGAATTTCTATACCACCCTTCTCCCGAAGGACTCAGGGCGGTGAACAGAATAAGATTTCATATACATATAATATTTTTTTTTTATAAACAGTAAATAATAAATTGAGTCAACTTAGTGTATCTGCTAAGACCTTGGCATAGAATTTAGATGTTTATGCTAGCCCTGCTTGTTGAAACAGAAAGGTCTTCAGGGCAGGTCGGAAAGTGTGAAGATCTTTCAAGCACCTGTTTTTACAATGTCCTATACTTGCTAGATTTGTGGGGAAAGTGGTGGATTATATAAATTTGACTGAGTGACAAAAGATTAAAAAAAGATAGTTTGGTCTAGTGGTTAAGGTACCAGGCTAGGAAGCAGGAGACTGTGAGTTCAAGTCCCACCTTAGCCATCAAAATCAACTGGGTGACTTTGGGCCAGTCACTTTCTCTCAGTCCAGTCCACCTCACAGGGTTGTTGTTGTAGTAGTAGGGAAAATAGGAGGAGGAAGATATGTAAAACCTATTCACTGCCTGAAGTTGTTTCTACAAATAATAAAGGAAGGATACAAATAAAGAAATAACATTTTCAGTTTTCTCTTGAGCTATATGTGTGGTGCATGGGATTTGACAGCTGGTTAAGGTAAATGAATTGTGTGCACCCTTACTATGGCCAAAAGACTGATTTTGCAATATCGAAAAAATATATGATCCTATTAACTTGATGGATCGAAGACTTGATTGCACCTGCTTCTTATGAGTGCATTGACAATAGATGTAGACCTTGTATAGATAAATGTATGACATATGGAACTCATTTATATAAAACACAATAAGTTATAGATATGATATGTTTATAGTTCTGCTAACTGTTGGCTGCCTGCAATTTGGCAGTTCAAATCTCACCAGGCTGAAGGTTGACTAAGCCTTCCACCCTTCTGAAGTCAGTAAAATGAGGATCCAGATTGTTGGGGGAAATATACTGACTATAAACTGCTTAGAGAGGGCTGTCAAGCACTGTAAAGCGGTATATAAGTCTTAAGTACTATTGCTATTGCTATATACCAGTGATGGCTAACCTTTTTGCCATCGCGTGCCAAAAGCTGGGGGAGTGTGGGGTGGTCATACGCGTGCGTGCCCAAACCCATAATTCTATGCGCCGTGCCCCCCAGGCATGCACGCACGACCTCCCCCCCCATGCTCCCCTTGCTTTTGGCATGTGATGGCCCAGTAGGCCTGTTTTTTGCCCTCCCCAGGTTCCAGAGGCTTTCTAGGAGCCTGGGGAGGGTGAAAACAGCCTCCCCCCCGGAGGCCCTCTGGAGGCCGGAAAAAAGCCCATTTGCCAACTTCTGGTGGGCCCAGAAGGCCCAAAAATCAGCTGGCCAGCATATGCATGCGTGCTGGAGCTGAGCTAGGGCAACGGTCATGTGCCCACGAATATGCTATAGGTTTGCCATCGTGGCTATATACAGTGTTTCCCCCAAAATAGGACATGTCCTGAAAATAAGGCCAAGCCTGATTTTTGGGGTGGGCATAAATATAGGCCCTCCCCTGAAAATAAGCCCTAGTGACGGGTGGGCGTGGCCAGCACAGGAGGCAGCCCTTCCCTGGTCACCACCTGGAGTTTCAGCCCCTTAATTGCTGCCCGCTGAGCCAGCGAGGGCTGTGCAACTCGGCCCTGATCTCCAGAGCACCTCCCCAGCTGCCGGCCTCCTCCCTCTTTTCCTGCCACTTTCTTTACTTGGGATCGCAGCACAGACACACATCCCCAAAATGCTTCATCCGAAGTTTTCAGCCTTGCCATCCTGGAAGGACCGTCTGTGCTGTGATCCCAGAGAAAGAACAGTGTGTGTGTATGTGAGAGAGAGAGAGAGAGAGAAAGAGAAAGAGAGAGATCCTATCCAACCTCAGAGAGTTATCCAGGGCTGGCAGCAACGTTCTCTCCGTCCGTCCGTCCCTCCCTCTCTCTACACACACACCCTCCCCAACCTCTCAAAGCAGCCACATCCCTTCACTAACCTGCTTTCCAGCTCCGTTCTTCACCGGTAAAAAAAGTACTGTGGGACTACGGTAAAAACACCTTCCAACTTCGCGAGCCTTTTTTTTTCTTCATCAGAAGTTGGAAGGTCTGGGGTTTTTTTTTTTTTTTTTTTTTACCGTAGTCCAACAGACTATGGGCAGGGGAGAATGGAGTTGGAAAGCAGGTTAGTAAAGGGATGTGGCTGCCCTGGGGGGGGGGGAAGGGGGAGGGTTTGGCATGGGTGGCCTGGCTGAAAGGCCTTCAGGTAAGCCGATACGGGACCTTGGGGCAGCTCCGCAGCCCCTGCCTTGCTTTGTCCTCCACCCCACCCCACCTGCCTTGCTTCGTTATTCTTTGCAATGTGCAGCCTCTCACAGTAAGGAGAATTGCAGGCAATTCTCGTTACTGTGAGAGGCTGCACTTTGCTTATGGGCAGTGTGCAGCGTTGCATCTTCTGTAACATTGACAGGCAGGCCAGGGATGTGTGGGGAGGGGGCCAGCCGATAAGAGCCCGGAAGGCAGAACCAGGGGTAAAGGCAGTAGTGGGATTCAAGTAATTTAACAACCGGTTCTCTGCCCTAATGATTTCTTCCAACAACCAGTTTGCCAGAAAGTTAAACAACCGGTTCTCCCGAAGTGGTGCGAACTGGCTGAATCCCACCGCTGGGTAAAGGGCTCCTGGCCTCTGTGAACGGGCGTGCTGCGGGAGCCTCGGGCCAGGGAGGCAGCGACCGAAAGCGGCGAGGCTCAGGATGGGTTCAGCTCGCTGCTGTGCGCCTCTTGGCCGGTTTATCTCAAGGGTGGGGAGGCTGTGTGATCGGAGCACTTGGAGAGGGGCGGGCGAGCTAGGGGAAGTGCCGCACTGGGCCTTTAAGCGGGGCGGGCCTTCGGGGAGGAGGAGGAAGCTGCCACTCTGCCCGCCAAGGACAGCCTCCTGGCTCAGAAGCGGAGGGTGGGGAGGGCCTGGTTTCCAGTGACCGGGAAAGGCTCACACTCAGGAAACTGTGGCCACCCCGGCCAGCTGCGCGATGCAGGCTCAGCCGCCCCTGCACAGTGGGTACTTCCACAGCCACCGCCCTCACTGCCTGGCATCTCATCTACCCTATCTTCCTGGTTCCCTTCCACTGTTTCTCTTGCTGCTTTTGCAGCCTCAATCAGCTGCAAAAGCAGCCGTGATTCTTGCCGTCTCTTCCCTCACTGGGCACGGCAGGGCTTCTTGCCCCTCGCTTCTACTCCTCCCCACCCCACCTGCCACCCATGGCTTAATTAGTGGGCATGGCTTGGTGGTAAGGTGACTTGGTGGGTGTGGCCAAGTCAATGTCACTTCTTTGCCCTTTTTTAACCTACAAAACACAACACAACACAACTGGCTCACCCATAATGTAAAAGCAGCTGTGCTAGACCCAAAATGGCCCCGCAACAAGCAAGAACCTCACACAGCCACAAAAAGCCCAAAAAACCAACTTTCACACTTTACACACACAAAATTCCACATACAGCTTTGTGAGATTTTGTGTGTTTGTGTAGTTAGAGTGAAACACTACAGAAACACACTAAATCTCAGAAAGCTGCACAAATATTATTTTATTTTTATTTATTTTTATTTTTATATAAAAGCAGCTAAATTTAAAACTTCCTAAACTTTAAATGGCTAGGTCTAAAAAAAGAACAACTAAAAAAAACCCCAATTAACTATTTTTTTAAAGCTCTCTAAGGGGAAAAAAACTTACCCAATAGAACAGGGGTCTCCAACCTTGGCAACTTTAAGACTTGTGGACTTCAACTCCCAGAATTCTTCAGCCAGCTTTGCTGGGAGTTGAAGTCCACAAGTCTTAAAGTTGCAGATAGAGCTGCTCACCGATGAGCTTGATTGCAGGCAGGGAGATTCAGTTGCTTGCTGATGCAATGGATTGCGTTACGACCCGCAGCTAAGGTAAGGGAGAAATTTTTTTTTTCTTTTACATGATTCTGGCGATCCAAGCTGATTAGCAGGCAACTCAGCTGGGATTGTCAGAGCTTGGCTGGTCAGAGCCATTTAAAAGAGAAAAAAGCCTCTGATGAACGCGCGGCTCAGCTGGGCATGGGGGATGTTCCCCAAATTGCCCTCCGCCATCACTACCTACTCGCCCTAGCCGGTCCGAACCGGGAGCATTTCACCCCTGTGCCACCCCAAATTGGGCCCCAAAATAATAAGACACCCCCCCCCCCGAAAATAAGGCCAAGCCCTTATTTCAGGGTTCAAAAAAATATAAGACAGGGTTTTATTTTCGGGGAAACACAGTGTATATATATATATACATGCACACATACTTACATACATACATATACATAAATATGTATACACACACACACACATATAGGTATATATTAGAAATATAGACCTGAATATTGGAATTATATAAGTATATTTAGAGTAATAAATTTACTATTATGATACATTTTTTGTTCTTTTCTGTTGTATTTTTTCCCACTTTTTAAAAGCTTTTTCTTTTTGACAATGTATACATTTTTACGATAATTATATTAATGTGCTATTTCTTTTATATTATTATTTTAAAAGGAATAAAAAAGAAACTGAGACAGAAGTCAGATGACTTATTTATTCGCCCTTTCTGTATCTTATTCAGGAAATCTACAGGGTGGAAGTTATGACTATGTTTCATCAACACTTGGTACACTTGAAAGACAGAAGGGTCATGTCTCCATCAACAGAGAAGAATTGGGCAGAATTCAGGCCAAGACGATTGGGGAAGCTGATTTCCTGTCCATCGATCTTCACCTTTATCTCCCCAGATTGGTAGCAGAGGCACATCTGTTAAGAACAGGCCAACGAGTTAATTCCTTCATGAGCTACAGGAAGTGAAAAATCCAGATTCTTCCTCCACCACTCCATATATTTGAAATATATACATAGTTTTGCCTATGGATGACTAAATACATAGTCACCATTGCTCCAGTTATGGGAATAAATATATAGATATTCCTTGATTTACAACAGTTCATTTAATGACCATTCTAAGTTACGACGACACTGGAAAAAGTGACTTACAATTGCTTTTCACACTTATGACTAGTGGTGTTATTCAATTTTTTAAACAACCGGTTCTGTGGACCTGGCTTAGTTGGGGGTGTGGCTTGGTGGTCATGTGACCGGGTGGGCCTGGCTATGTGTATAGGGACTACTCAGAGGGCTGAAAAAAGTCATTTTTGACCGGTCCTCGCACTTATGACCATCCTCACATTTATGCCCGTTGCGGCATTCTTAACAACCGTGTCAGTCATTTCACCACTACTTCTCTTCACCATGGTGACAAGATAGGACGCAAAACGTAAAATGTGAGGACAGTCGTAAGTTCAAGGACTGGCCAAAAGTCCGAGGACCGGTCAAAAATAACTTTTTCAGCCCTCTGAGTAGTCCATATGCACATAGGGACTACCCAGAGGGCTGAAAAAAGTCATTTCTGACAGGTCCTCACACTTTTGACCGGTCATTTATGCCCATTGCAGCATTCTTAATTAAATTAATTAAATAAAAATGACCTGCTGGAGCAGTCCGAGGCAGGCGTTCGGGCCGGCTGCAGGGCAAGGTGATACAACCGGGGTAGGTAGGCTGCTGCTGCCCAGGTGGGAGGCGGGCACAGGCCTACAGGGCTGGCTGCAGGGTGAAGCGATCGGATGGGGTAGGTCAGGGGTCTGCAACTTTAAACACTCAATCTTAAACACATGTAAACACTTAAACACAACCTTAAACCTGGGTGGGCATTACCAACTCCATATCACTTACTCCCACCCAGGTTTTGTGGCTCCCAGTATTTTCTTTTAAACAGGTATCTCTGTGTGTCTCTTTCATCTCTCTCATCTCTTTCTTTCTCCCCTTCATCTCTTTCTCCCCCCCACTTTCTCTTCTTCATTTCTTTTTCTCTCCATCTCTTTCTCCTTCCCCCTTTCTCCCCTTCATCTGTTTCGCCCCCTTCTCTCCTTCACCTCTCTTTCTCCCCCCCCCCACTTTCTCTCCTTCATTTCTCTTTCTCCTCTCCCGTCTGGGCAGTGGCAGCAGTGAACCTACCACACCATCGGGTCACCCCTCGGCTTGGAGGTGGCACCTTAAGCCTGCGCCCCACTGCGCATGCGCCTGCCCGGCTCTTGTTGCTCCTACTGAGCTTCGCAATGGGGCAGACAGCGCCCTTCCTCCTCCTGGAGGCCATTACGATGCGGAGCTTCGGCTGCAGCCTGGGCAGCCAGTGTTCCAGGGCGGAGAAAACTTACGCGTCTCCCCCAGCGACTGGATGGGCTAGGGCAGGGGTGGGCAATTGTGGCTGTTTTACAACCTGTGGATTCAACTCCCAGAATTCCTGAGACAGCTGTCTCAGGAATTCTGGGAGTTGAAGTCCACAGGTTGTAAAAGAGTCACAATTGCCCACCCCTGGCTAGGGTAGGCTGGCGCCGTGCGGTGGGAGGCGGGGTCAGGTGAGAGGCGGGCGAACCAGCAATTTAATTAATGGTTCGGTGTGCTGCAAGGCCAATAAATTACAAAAAAACACCAAACTGTTTGTTAAATTGCTGGCTCGCTTGCCCCGCTCCGCCCACCACTATTTATTGCCAATTGGTGTGGAGGGACGGGGCAAGGGGCAGGGCGAGCCAACAATTTAACAAACAGTTCGGCCGAACCGCCTAGAACCAGCAGAATCCCATCACTGCTTATGACCATTGCAGCTTCCCCACAGTCACGTGATCAAAATTCAGACGTTTGGCAACTGATTCATATTTATGACGATTGCAGTGTAATGGGGTGATGTGAACCCTTTTTGGGACCTTCTGGCAAGCAAAGTCAATGGGGAAGTCAGATCCACTTAACAACCGTTTTAGTAACTTAATACCTGCAATGATTCACTTAACAACTGTGGCAAGAAAGATCATAAATGGGTCTCACTTAACAACAGAAGTGTTGGCCTCCATTTTGATCGTAAGTCAAGGACTACCTGTACTTGCCGTTTAGGAATTATCTATCCTTCCCAGATTCAAGGAGGCTATAATGCAGCACTCAGATTCTATGGAGAAGCCCAGATTAAATAAATGGGACATAACTCTAATGGATAAAAAGAACCAATCGAATTGCATGACTAAAAGGGCAATATGAACAGCCGCGGTGGTTCAGTGGTTAGAATGCAGTATTGCAGGCTGACTCTGCCCACTGCCAGGAGTTCAATCCTGCCCGGCTCAAGGTTGACTCAGCCTTCCATCCTTCCGAGATTGGGAAAATGAGGACCCAGATTGTTGGGGGACAATAGGCTGACTCTAAACCGCTTAGAGAGGGCTGTGAAGCGATATATAAGTCTAATTGCTATTGCTATTGCTATTCAACTTCACTTTAATCTAAGCAGTGGATACAACCTAAGAGTCCTCACTACCTTGGGAGCAAAAAAAAAAAAGTGATTGAGAAAAGGTAACTCTTTTAACACCCAGCCATGTTGTTTTTTTTTTTAAAGAGATCTCACATCTTTTGAACTGACACTTCAGTGCCTTAAATGTTCTTCCTGACCTTGATTTCAGCTCCTTCCTGGAACGGGAAAATCGATGGCCGTACCTCCGCACCCCACTGGCCATTCGATTTGGAATTACACACCACCTTCTTGACGTCTCCATGGGCTTGAAAGCGAATGCTCAAGTGAATGGCCAGATTTGAATCATCACGACCTAAGTTGATGGCAAAACTAAGAGAGGGAAGGGCGACACATTGAACACACGTTGCGTAAGCCAATTTCAAACATTGCAGTCCCATTTTCAGTGGTTTGGCAGCAAGGCTGGGCTGGTGCTTGGGCTGGTGTTCAGACTGGACTTTGTCCATCACAAAGTTTGATTCATTCTTTCCCTGTTTCTTGCCTTTCCCATTCATGTAGGCAGGGGTGGGATTCAGAAATTTTAGCAACCGGTTCTCTGCCTGGTTGCTGGATGGGCGTGGCCTACTCGGCCTGTACCACGGGGTGGGGTGTTTTCGCCCCCCCAGACTCTGGAAGCTTTTCTCGAGCCTCTGGGAAGGCGAAAACGGCCTCCCCCGGTCTCTGGAGACCCTCCAGAGGCCGGAAACGGGCCCGTTTTCAGACTTCCAGGAGGCCCGTTTTTCACCCTCCCCATACTCTGGAGGCTTTCCTTGAGCCTCCGGAAGAATGAAAATGGCCTCCCTGGGCTCTGGAGGCCAGAAACAGACTTCGAACTTCCGGTAGGCCCATTTTTCACCCTCCCCAGGCTCTGAAGACTTTTCTCTAGCCTCCAGGAGGGCAAAAATGTCCTCCCCAGGCTCCGGAAGCCCTGTGAAGGGCGGAAATGGGCCCATTTCTGGACTTCCGGAACTTCCGGTAGGCCCATTTTTCGCCCTCCAAGAGCCTTGCAACAGCTGAGGCTGTTTTGCATCCAAAACTGGCTGCATGGAGACTCCTGGGAGGGGCAGGGACTGGTGGGCGGGGTCAGCCAGTCCTTGCAACTCCTAGTTTGGCAAACCAGATTAAAATTAACATCTGGTTCGCCTGAACCGGTATGAACTGGCTGAATCCCACCCCTGTGTGTAGATAAGGCAAGCCTTGGGGTTGACTCCTGGAGGAACTGGTCTACCAGTGCCTGCTTATCCTTCTAGGAAGTGTTCTCTTCTCACCAGGTCCATTGTGGTTTCCTGATGGAGGCCCTGCATGTCTTCCTTCCTACATTCTCTCACCTGAAATAATCCCCTTAATTTTCTTTTCATTTTCTTCTGAAACAACATAATTTCATTGCAGCAGACCCTAGTATACCTCAATTGTTTTACCACCATGATGGCACTGGATTCAGCGGGACTTTGGTTAACAAACCTTTGAAACATCAAGCCTACATTACATCTACTTCTTCTTAATTGCAAAACCAAACAAAAATACTGGGACCAAACCTCTGGCCTAAAACTGAAAAAAAAATGCCCACTGGGGATGCTGAATAGAGCTTTTAGACAGGGTCGAGAATCATTGATAGGGAAAGTTGGTTGGTTTAATGGGCATTATTAAATGCAATAATTTTTTTTAAAAAAGATAATAGTGCAACTTTAGAGCAACCCAGCACAAAATGGCTACTCAGGGCAGTGACCAGCTGCTGGAGGAGAAGGGATATTACAAGCCCTGGAGCTGTGGTGGAATGTAGTCCAGATTCCCAGGAGAAAGGGAGTGTATTCCAGAGGAATAAAAGACAGCAAAGTTTAATGTGGGAGAAAGAAAGTTAAGAAAGCACCTCCCTAGAAGTTCTCAGAGTATAGATTTAGTGCAGGGGTGTCAAACTCAAAGCCCGCGGGCCGGATTCGGCCCATGGGGTGCTTAAATCTGGCCCAGAGGGCCACCCTGGAAATAGCAAAGGACCAGCCCATGGTGCCTCTGGCAGCCAAAATGGGGCACAGGGGAGGCGCGCACGGCCCCCCTGTGACCTGTCTTCATCCTGGACGGCCTCTGCAGCACCCTGCTGGTCAAAACGGCTGGCAGAGTGCTGCAGGAGGCCATCTAGGCCGAAAACGGGGCACGGGGGAGCGCATATGCCCCCCCCACATCCTGTTTTGGCCAGCAGGGTACTGCATGAGGACATCTAGGCCAAAATTGGGGCGCAGGAGGGCCCATGTACAGCCCCTCCCCACACCATTTTGGCCAGCAGGGTGCTGCAGGAGGCATCCATCTCTTTCACCCCACTCCACCCCACCCCATCCCACTCCGGCCGGCCCGCAGAGGAGAACTACAATGCTGATCCAGCCCTCGAAGAAATCCATTTTGACAGCCCTGGTTTAGTGTGTCTTTCTTAGTTTTTAGAGCCTGACAACAGCCAACTGATGCTGTAACTGAATCTCAGTCAGAAGGAAGCCCTACACACTATCCAACCTGAGGGGCTTAAAATGGCTCCCGTTGAAAAGCATCCATTTTGAATCAGAGCTAGAAAATTCAACTGGAGCAGGGGAAGTGGGAAGTACCTTTGAAGTGGTCTGGGGTTGGAAGAAGGACATCTTTTTCTGCATTTAGGAGATAGGGGGCATATTACTGATGGGCAGAGCAGAGTGTCTGGATCTGCCCTTAAAAAACGGGGCACAGAAGTTGGGCTGAACATAATGTAGAGTCTGAAGACTGTGAGTTGGCTATGTCTCGGTTGAAGGAGAAGAACCATAAATTTGAATGTGAGAGAAACTTACTATGGTGAAGAATGGTTTGTGGATGGGGAGGTTCAGCTTTAGCCATGAATATTGCTGCCCTTCATAATCAGGCAAGCTGAAAGTGAGGTTTGCTCCCAGGGAATCTCCCAACGGAAATTCTACACTGGAGTGTTAGGCTGATTATCCTATGTTAACAGGGGTCCCCAACCTCCCAGGCCTAGCTCCAGTCCATAGCCCACCAGGAACTGGGCCACACAAGCGAACGAAGCCCCATCTGCGTACATGCAGGATACAGACAATATACACAATCATGACCCCCCCCCCAAGTCCGCAGAAAAAAAATCCATGTAACGGTCCCTGGTGCCCCAAAGGTTAGGGGCCACTGAATGTGAAGACTTGTGGATTTCAATTCCCATTGATGCTGGCTGAATTCTGGGATATGAATTCCAAATTCTGAGAGTTGACAGCCATGCATCTTAAAATTATTCAGGTTGAGAAACACTATACTACTAGCAGTTTCCTAAGTCAACTTCAGACATTTCACCGTGAATTGCAGTGGATGGGGCCAAAATTAAATTTAGGGGATAACTTCCTGCTGAAGATAGATCAGTGTTGTGGGTATTGTACAGTGGTGAAATTCATTTTTTTTTTACTACTGGTTCTGTGGGCGTGGCTTGGTAGGCGTGGTGTGGCAGGGGAAGGATACTGCAAAATTTCCATTCCCACCCCACTCCAGGGGAAGGATACTGCAAAATCCCCATTCCCTCCCCACTCTGGGGCCAGCCAGAAATGGTATTTGCCGGTTCTCCGAGCTACTCAAGATTTCCACTACCAGTTCTCCAGAACCTGCTGAATTTCACCCCTGGTATTATAGTTTATTCACCAAATCACAGTACAGTATGTGAACTCAATCACATTTTCTCTCCTCCCCCCCCCGCCCCCCGTCCCCCCAATGTTTACAAGGATTTGCAAGACAAAAATGACTTTGGGGAAATCTTGGGATATTAAAAAAGGCTGCATTGTTGAAAACAGATTGAATGTGGCTCATTATCTATCTCCACACCAGCAAACCATGTTGCCTGTCATGGTGCTGGAATCCCGCTTCAGTCATTCCAAAGTCATTTCATATCAATTGTTGGTCATTTTAAGATATTCTGTTCACAAACGGAATTTCTTAAGCTCACTGCCAATGAAAACACTGCATTAATAATATTTATATGAGCAACAGAAGTGGGAAAGGAAGACTTTTAAATTTGCCCAAAGCCAGAAAGGACTTAATGCAGGGCTGAAATCCAGCAGGTTCTGACAGGTTCTGGAGAACCGGTAGTGGAAATTTTGAGCAGTTCAGAGAACCAGTAGCAGAAATTTTGAGTAGTTCGTAGAACCAGCAAATATCACCTCTGGCTGGCTGCAGAGTAGGGTGGGAATGGGGATTTTGCAGTATCCTACCCCTGGAGTAGAGTGGGAATGGAGATTTTGCAGTATCCTTCCCCTGCCATGCCCACCAAGCTACGCCCACCAAGCCACACCACACCCACCAAGCCACACCCACAGAACCAGTAGTAAAAAAAATTAATTTCATCACTGACTTAATGTCATTTCAGACCTGCCTAAAGCCAATTAATCATACAAACCTTTTGGCCCCTTGATGGATTTTCCCCTTCAGTTTGATGCAGTCACCAGGTTTCACCGACAAATCAAAGACTCTCATGATCTGAAAGAGAAACGAACAAGTGTGTGTGTTGTGATGTCCATGGCTTTTAGGACCAAAACACTTAATCCCTACAAATTCAATAGGAAACATCTTGCACTATGAATGCTCTACCAAGAAATCCCCTGGATGTCTTCAGGTGTGTTGGGACCTCTCCACCCAGAACTTGTTGCAAAAAATGTCAAGGAATGTGAGTATTGGTAGATCTGGTAAACATCATGATGTCAAAATCACGGTCACTCATGCCCTAGTTACCTCCCGTATGGACTACTGTAATGCTCTCTACATGAGGCTCCCCTTGAAAAGCACCCGGAGGCTCCAACTGGTCCAGAATGTAGCTGCGCAGGTGATTATGGGCGCAGCTCGTTACGCCCATGTAACATCTCTCCTACGCGAGCTGCACTGGCTCCCGGTGGTCTTCCGGGTGCGATTCAAGGTGTTAGTTATCACCTTTAAAGCACTCCATGGCTTAGGACCTGGGTACCTACGAGACCGTCTTTTGCCACCAATAGCCTCCCACCGACCAGTTCGTTCTCACAGGGAGGGACTACTCAGGGTACCGTCAGTCAAATTATGTCGACTGGCAACTCCCAGGGGGAGGGCCTTCTCTGTGGGGGCTCCAACCCTTTGGAATGAACTGCCCCCGGAGATACGGAATATCCCTGATCTCCGTGCTTTCCGCCGTGCCCTCAAGACCCTGATGTTCCAACAGGCGGGGCTAAACATACGAACATGTGAATGATTTTTTAAATGTTATCTAATTCTGGGTTTTATTTAATTGACCAAACTAAGTAATAATTTTAATTAGCAATTTTATGATGTTTGTGTGTCTATATTTTTCTTGACTGTACACCGCCTTGAGTCCTACGGGAGAAAGGCGGTATAGAAATATAATAAATAAATAAATAAAATAAATAAAATCATGTTGTCAGGGTTCCTACAGATGCCCTAATGAAACCATGAATCTCAAGCCAAGTTTCAAAAGAAATCCAGATATTTATTAGGAGCTTCATGTCGGCACGTTCCCAAATGAAGCTCTGACCCTACGTAATTTATTGAATAGAATAGAATAGAATTTTTTATTGGCCAAGTGTGATTGGACACAGAAGGAATTTGTCTTGTTCCTTGTGTGTCCTATGCTCCAATCATGACCCTGTTTCCCCCCTCCCCCCAGGGTGTGTCATCAATCACATTCGCCAATGAAGCAATTTCGCGGGTTGTAGCGGTCACTCCCATTGCTGCTGTAAGTAAGACTGGGATACAGCCTTGAGAGAGATAAGCATAGAATGTGCATCTGTCTTTGGCTGCTGTCCCATTTTGCCGGTTTCCCACCCTCCCTCCCTTGATTATGGCAACTCGAGAGCAGGCCAGGCAGTGGTGAAATGTAAAATTTGTTACTACCAGTTCTATGGGCGTGGCTTGGTGGTGGTGGTGGGTAATATGACTGAGTGGGCGTGGTCAACTTTTTTTTTACTTTTAAAACCATTTTTTCTACCACCTCTTCAGCTGAAGAGGTTGTAAAAAAAATGCTTTAAAAAGCCTCTGAAGATCCCAGCTGACTTGCCTGATCGGCAGAGGCTTTTTCTTTTTTTTTAAGCCTCTGAAGTTTGCAGCTGACTTGCCCGATCAGCAGAGGCTTTTTCTTTTTTAAGCCTCTGACGATCCTAACTGAGTTGTCTGATCGGCAGAGGCTTTTTTTCTTTTAAAAACATTTTTTTCTACAACCTTTTTGTCCGAAGAAGTTGTAGAAAAAATGCTTTTAAAAGCCTCTGACAATCCCAGCTGAGCCGCACCATCATCAGAGACTTTTTTTTTACTTTTAAAAGCATTTTTTCAGCGAAAGAAGTTGTAGAAAAAACGCTTTTAAAAAAAAGCCTCTGGTGATTGCGCAGCTGGGCATGGGGGCGTGGGGGGGCAGGGATTTTTGCTACCAGTTCTCCGAACCACCCGTCACCATTGCTACCGGTTCGGGCGATCCAGTCTGAACTGGGAGCATTTCACCCCTGAGGCCAGGGATGCTTTGCGAGTTGACACATGTCATATGTATCATGGTGCAATGTCCCTTATCTCATCCCCAGATCCTTAGGATCTGAAGGGCGTTGATGAAAGTGAAAGGCCCGTGTAAACTTTCAAACCAATTTCAGATTTTTCACTGTGTTACTGAAATATCTGAATCCCACCTATTCAACAATTCATAGCTTAGTATATAGTGTGTGAAGCCAGATTACATCCGGACTCTGTACATCTATATAATGTACTGTACTGTATACTAGTATTGTACTGAAACCTGTACTAGGATAATGTGTGAAGTATGTACAGGTACCTGTACCTGTACAGGTAGTCCTTGACTTACAACAGTTAGTTTGGTGACTGAATTTACAACGGCACTGAAAAAATGACTTGTGACTGTTTTTCACACAACCATTGCAGCATCCCCATGGCCATGAGATCAAAATTTGGACTATTGGCAATTGACTCATATTTATGATGGTTGCAGTATCTGGGGTTCGTGTGATCACTTTTTTTGACCTCCTGACAAGCAAAATCAATGGGGAAGCCAGATTCACTTTGCAACTGTGTTACTAGCGTAACAACTGCAGTGATTTACTTAACAACTGTGGCAAGGAAGATTGTAAAATGGGTCACAACTCAACTGTCTTGCTTAGCAGCAGAAATGTTGGGTTCACTTGTGGTCGTTAATCAAGGACTACTTCTAATACTAAGCATGTTTTGTTACCCATGATTTTCTGAAAACCTTATAATTAACTGAATTCATGCATCAAGCAGTAAACCCAACTAAGGAAATTTAATCGTTGTGAATGTGTGAATTGGGTTAATTTGAAATTTGAGGAGTGAAATTTGCCTGGCTTAGGTAAGATTCCAACTTCTATTTGGACTTTGCAATGAACCTTATCTCCAAATGGTCTTTGTAATAAACCTTATCTCCAAATGGTTAATCAGTAAAGAACCATCAATTTGTTTGACGGCCTTTGACACTACGCATCATCAGCAAGGTTTCTCACACAATAGACTTTGTTTCGAGAAATGCTTAGCTCATCTTGGTCTTTGAAGTTATAGTTGTAGCCTGAAATTCAGAGCTACACCTCAAGGTCAAGTTTGTTAATCTATGCCAATACAGCCTTGTGCAACCACTACTAGACAAAAGAACTACTAAGTCTGAAAATTCTAGAATCTCTTACATGTCACGCAAAGTACATTTGAGTGGGATTGTTAGATGATCATCTAACTCTTTGCTGTCATCTATTGTCCATTAAGAATTTTACAGTCCGGTTATGGGAATCCTAGGTAGAGCCACATCTTTTAGAAGTTTAAATATCTATCTTCAGATATAGTTGCCCTTCGCATGAACAATCTGTCATTCCAACTAGGAGGCAGATGCCAGGCAAGAGTTAATGACCTAGAAAAACGTCATTGGTCTGAGGGAATGCATCTTACATGCAAAAGTAAATTTGGGCTGGGTTAGGTCAGATATTTTGCCCTGAGGGAAATGAGACCATTAGCACTGCAATCATCCCAAATATTATAATATCCAAGGCTGGCTGGTTGAGTCGCCTACTGATTCAATTATTCCAACAATGAATGAATACTTTCCTGTCCTCTCATGACAGACCCCTCTGTCAACTGCAAGAAAGTCTGGCTTTGCAGATCAAGAATGGTGATTCCTAGTTTTTTGGTAAAACATCAGCTTTTGTGCTGAACAGATATTCTAAAAACCCTTATCTGAACAGACTTGTCTAGGCATTTCAGGAAAAATCAAAACCACCATTCATGTATTGTAATTTTTATAGAGGAACTCATTCATTTTACCCATCGTGCAACAACACCCAGACAGAACTTTAACATAAAAGGTAAAGGTAAAGGTTCCCCTCGCACATATGTGCTAGTCATTCCCAACTCTAGGGGACGGTGCTCCTCTCCATTTCAAAGCCGAAGAGCCAGCACTGTCCAAAGGCATCTCTGTGGTCATGTGGCCGGCATGACTAAAGGCCAAAGGTGCACGGAACCCTGTTACCTTCCCACCAAAGATGGTCCCTATTTTTCTACTTGCATTTTTACATGCTTCTGAACTGCTAGGTTGGCAGAAGCTGGGACAAGTAACAGGAGCTCACCCCATTATGCAACACTAGGGATTTGAACCGCTGAACTGCCGATCTTTCGATCGACAAGCTCAGCATCTTAGCCACTGAGCCACCGCATCCCTTCATAACATCCCTTTGTATGTTAAGAACTTTAACATACAAAGTTCTTAATTTCTGATCCCAAGGACAGTATCACCAATATCATGATAATTTTTCATGGAAGCAGCTTGGACATGTAATCAAACATCCATGATTACCATATTCTTATTGGTCTTTATATAATTTCATATCTTATTTTAGATGGATTATTGATCACAATAAACATTGTAGGTAATACGGAGCTAGTAGGAAGTTTCATTCTTGCTCATAATGACCAACCAATCTATAGGCTTTAGTCATAACACAGTACAATGGATTCATATACAGACTGGACCAAAAGTCAGGTGCCATAGACAGAGTATTATATACATGTATTAAATATCACAATTGGTTACCTTTTTCTTCTAAATGCTTCCTAACTTATGCTTCCTAACTTGTGCTTCCTAACTCATCTGAAAATTCTCAAGTATTGTAACATGAAAAAAATACCAATAAAACATATTGTGATAGCCTATAGAAGCTGACATTTGGCTAACGACGTATATACTCCAAAAACAAACAGACTATATTATGGCATAGCAGGATCTGTGAATCTGGCTATTATGGTTCGTAAACCATGATTTTTGCCTTAGCATTGTGAACAAAGTACAAGCTAGTTAAAATCTGGTTTATCACATTATGCTTGGAGTGTCCTTGAAAATATACAAATGACTAAGAGTGTATCACTTACTTGTATTTTTCCAGTAGGAATTTTAGCTATTTAATAAGAATATTTTACTACCACATCATCCCAAAATAAAACATTATAGTTTAAAAAAATGAATTCTTAGAATGAACTGCAAAAAGTTATCATTTTCTATGCCCCAGAAATCTGAAAAATCACAAAACTTTGTCTCAAGAGCATCTGATCTCTAGGTCTCCCGGCATAATATCAACTGCATGCAATCTATCCTATCATTATACAAATATATTAAGGGAAGGGAAGCTTACTAAGTACTCAACGGTCTGCTATACCCAACAGCCTATCTGCCCAGTTAAAGACAACTTACTGATTGCTTGATGATTCAGTTCTAGGAAGAGTCCAGGAATGACCAAGGTGTGTCCCCTGTCTAAATTTTAAATAATGGCTTGAAGGGGCATTGCCATTTCCCCAGCCAATGAGATGTAAGTCCATAGACAATCAGGAGAAAATGGGCTGACCCTTGAAAAACTGAATTCATTCTACCATATGGCTTAATAGTTTATGTCATTTGCAGACAAGGTGTGGAAGAAGGAGTGGTGGAACCTGGATGGACTCAGCCTAGAGTCAATAAGTACCCATAAATGGACTGGATCCAACTGCTCTTGAATTCTGTTGGTTCTTATCTAATGCCAAGATATTAATGATTAGATTCTTGAGCATAGGCATGATTACTGATAAATCAGTTTAATTGGAATTTCATATATGCTCTGACTCCTGGTTTATTATGCCCGACATAAGGGCAGGTACAAGTCAAGTGTAGAACAAGGAAGAAAAGCCATTAAAAAAAAGAAGATATTTATTTATTTTTATTTATTTTATTAAATTTTTATACCACCCTTCTCCTACTGGACTCAGGGCGGTGAACAGCCAAGAATAAAAACATCACATACAAAATTTAAAATTTTTAAAAGAATTAAACAAATTTTGGCCCAATAAATTTAAAACTGCCCAAGTAAAATCAATTTACAATTAAAAATATCTAAAAATATCTAAAAATATCTAAGGGGGGGGGTGTTACGCCAGCTCAGCTTGATGAAATAAAAAAGTTTTAAGGGCACGGCAAAAAGCACGGAGATCTGGTAGCTTACATATCTCCGGGGGCAGGTCATTCCAGAGGGCAGGTGCTGCCATAGAGAAGGCCCTCACCTTGGGGGTCGCCAGCCGACATTGTCTGGCCGACGGCACCCTGAGGAGTCCCTCTGTGTGGGAGCGTACAGGCCAGTGGGAGGCTATCGGTGGCAGAAAGCGGTCGCGTAAGTACCCAGGCCCTAAGCCATAGAGCGCTTTAAAGGTGACCAACACCTTGAAGCACACCCGGAAGACCACCGGAAGCCAATGCAGCTTGCGCAGGAGGGGTGTCACATGGGAGTGCCCCATCGCTCCCATAATCCCCTGCGCAGCGCATTCTGCACCAGTTGGAGCCTCTGGATGCTCCTCAAGGGGAGCCCCATGTAGAGAGCATTACAGTAGTCCAGGCGGGAAATGACGAGTGCCTGAGTGACTGTGCGTAAGGAGTCCCGATCCAGAAAGGGACGCAATTGGCGAATCAGGCGAACCTGATAAAAAGCCCCCCTGGCCACGGCCTTCATATGCTCTTCTAAAAACAGCCATGCGTCCAGGAGGACGCCCAAGTTGCGAGCCCTCTCCATGGGGGCCAGTAACTTGACCCCAATAGCCAGCGATGGCACCAGCTGGCTATATTGGGACGCCGGAAGCCACAGCCACTCGGTCTTGGAGGGGTTGAGTCGGAGCCTGTTTCTCCCCATCCAGACCAGCAGGGCCTCTAGGCACCGAGACATCACTTCAAGGACATCATTGGGATGACCTGGGGTGTACAGCTGAGTATCATCAGCGTACTGATGGAACTCCACTCCAAAACCACAGATGATCTCGCCCAGTGGCTTCACATAAATGTTGAATAGGAGGGGTGAGAGGACCAATCTCTGCGGCACCCCACAAGTAAGGCGCCTCAGGGTTGACCTCTGCCCCCCTGCCAACACTGACTGCGACAGGCCAGAGAGATAGGAGGAGAACCACCGTAAAACGGTGCCCCCCACCCCCAACCCTTCGAACCGGCGCAGCATGATACCATGGTCAATGGTATCAAAAGCCGCTGAGATATCTAACAGGACTAGGATAGAGGAACAACCCCTATCCCGAGCCCTCCAGAGATCATCCACCAATGCGACCAATGCCGTTTTCGTGCTGTGCCCAGGCCTCAAGCCGGACTGGAGCGGATCTAGATAGACAGCTTCATCCAGGTACCGCGGAAGCATGTTTTTCAGTGATATTTTTGAGCAGGAACTATAACTCATTGGATATTCTTATAACTATCTTTCTACAATGCACATACTTGTCCTTTATTTAAATCAGCGTTAATTCCGAGTTTGCACTGAAACTTAAACTAGGCATGCTGGCTTATTCTGTACAACATTCTAGGCCAGTGATGGCTAAGCTTTTTCGGACTAACTGCCCAAAAGTGTGTGTGCATGTATGTGAATGCATGCACAGGTGCCCGAACCCCCCAAATGCAATGCCCCCTGCACATGCGCCCCACCCCCATGCATGTGCCCCACCCCATGCAGGTGTGCGCAGCCCCCTGCATGAGCCCCCCGCATGCACACACGGCTCCCTGCATGTGCCCTGCCCCCACATGCACTCATGTGCCCCCCCCGCATGCATTCCGCCCCTGTACATGCACAACAGAGACCCAAAGACCAGCTGGCTGGCGGGAGGCGCAACCAGCTGGCTGGTGAGAGGTGGCCAAACTCCCAAAATGCAATGTGCGGGCTCCTCCCGTGCATGCAGCCCACCCCCTGTGCATGTGCCCTGCCCCCGTGCATGCACATACCACCGCACACGTCTTTACACCCTGCACATCTGCAGGCACCTCCTGCATGCACCCCGCCCCCCCACGAATGCCTGACAGAGACCCGAAGATCAGCTGGCCTGCGGGAGGTGTGCACGCATGCGCGGCGCAGCTGAATTGGGGCGACAGCTCGCGTCCCCACAGAGAGGACACTGTGTGCCACCTCTGGCATGCATGCCATAGATTCACCATCACAGTTCTAGGCTAAAATTAGGTTTGCTAATGGTTAGTACTTTAGGCCAACCTAGCTAGTGGCAAATCCTTCTGTATTCCCTGGCATTTATTCCCAAGATTATAGTCCTTAATGTGGAGCTTTTTTCTAAAAGCTTTTTCAACCAGGTGGATTTCCACCTATACTGGAACAACTGTTTCCTAACTTCCCAGCCAGCAAAGCAAATGATCATGTAAGCTCTCGGAGTTTGGGCCTCACCACATCTGGAGGGCTGCCTTACTGGGGGAAGAAGCTAAGGTCAATGGGATTTACTTTTGAAAGACAAGTAAGGATCGTAGTGTTATTCCACATTCATACGTTCACACTGAACCATGTTTTTGTTAACACACAGTTTTCTGGCTAAGTCAGAATTGTCTGGGTTCTGATACAGCCCTTAAACTGTAAATCCCAATTGATGCAAATGCTAATAGGGTTCAGCCAAACAATTAAACCGTGTGTTAGTTTATTAGATTGTAAGAATGAGAACCAAGTCTGTGGTTGCTACCATGACTCAAGACGGGTTTTTTGAGACTGCCTTTTCCAAATGTTTCTGTCTATTCTTTCCAGAGGTTGTATTCAGCAGGCTCTGACCAGTTCTGAAGAACAGGTAGCGGAAATTATGAGTAGTTCGGAGAACCAGTAAATACCACCTCTGACTGGCCCCGCCCCCATCAATTCTCTGCCTCCCAAGTCCCGGCTGATCGGGAGGAAATGGGGATTTTGCAGTATCCTTCCGCTGGAGTGGGGAGGGAATGGAGATTTTAGAGTATCCTTCCCCTGCTACGCCCACCAAGCCACGCCCACCAAGCCACGCCCACAGAACCGGTAGTAAAAAATTTTGAATCCCACCACTGATTCTATCTGAAAGGGAGCACTGGCTATGGGTCTCTATCAAAAGGTACAAGGAAAGACGCGTCCATCACAGTTTCCCTTTTCTGGGATAGCTTTTGTCCCCTGACACAAGGACAGCCTTACGCCTGTCAGGCCTGGAAGCCATTTTTTATATTAGGCCTTCAGACCTGACACGTTTACTACTGTGGGAAACTGTCTACTGTTGACCTCACCCCGTTCCTAAGAGGTCTGTAAGGGGCGTGCATAAGTGCACCAGCATGCCTACCATCCCTGTCCTAATATTCCTTTTCACTCTTACTCTTTTCATGTATTCAACTTATGTTTATACTTTTACCTGTTATATATGCTTGACAATAAAATAAAATAAATAAATAAAAATAAACTGGGAGTGGGGATCGTATGGAGCACGGGTGATATATAGTCATAATAACATTCCTTTCTCAAGAGTTCAAGTCTGAACTCTTTGAGGGGTTCAGGTTTTATAAAAAGGGGATTTTGATGGGATTATATTCTGTAGAAGTCAGGGGGGAGGGTTAGGAGGGGTTTGGGGGGGTTAGGGTGGGGAGTATGGGGTGGGTTGGGGGGAAAAATGGGGTGAAAATGTAATTGTAAAACTTTTGCAATAAAAAAAAAAAGAGTTCAAGTCTCTGCCCAACACCCACAAGTCCATCACTTGGTCCAATCAAACATCTTTCTAACTGGAGATGCCTCCCAGCTCCAGTCTTCCAGGTGCAGGGCAAGTTGTCCTTGACTTCTTGAGAAAGGAATGTTATTATGACTACCGTTGTTTCCCCGACAATAAGACCCTGTCTTATATTTTTTTAAACCCCAAAATAAGTGCTTGGTCTTATTTTCGGGGAGATCTTATTATTTTGGGGCGCGTGGAGCAAGATGGGACTCCTCTTGCCGTCTTACCGGATTTCCAGCTTTGCGTTTAAATATTTTTGGGGAGGGCTTATTTTGGGAGGGAGGCTTATTTTAGCACATGCACTCAAAAGCCCGATTGGATTTATTATCAGGGGATGTCTTATTTTCGGGGAAACAGGGTATATATCACCTTGGCTCCATACAATCCCTCCTCCCAGTTTCCCACAGTAGTAAACGTGGCAAGTCTGAAGGCCTAATACAAAAGATGGCTTCCAGGCCTGACAACCCCTTTGTGGGCTTTTAGAAAGAAGTGAAAACATAGCTGTGCTAGAAGGCCTTTGGGGATTAACCGCAACCAAGAGTGCCAAATTCTATCAAATGAATTCTAGCTGGTGGCTTCTTTTACTATTCAATTTAGTAGCCAATGAGACTGGAGCTCTTATTTTAATTATTACATTGCTTTTGTGTTGCGTTTTATATGAGAGCTGCTAAAAAAAAAACGGTAGGCAAATCTCATAAAGCGCAGGCAGTCCTCGATTTACGATCACATTTGGGACCAGAATTTTTAAGTGCTAAGCAAGGTGGTTGGTTGTTCAGTGAGTTGAGCCCTGTTTTACGGTCTTTTTCTTTTTTTGTCATGGTTGATAAATGAACCGTGTGGTCATTAAATGAGTCTGGATTCCTACGCTGATTTTGTTCGTTGGAAGCCAGTTGGAAAGGTCACAAATGGCCATGCTGTGACCCCCCAGAACACTGCAACCATTGTAAATACATGCCGGTTACCAAGCACCCAGGTTTTGATCAGAGGATGACGGGGATGCTGCAATGGTCATAAGGACTGATCCACTTTTTCAGAACTTCAAAAGTTCATTGAACAAATGGTTGTAAGTTGAGGATTACCTGTACTAGACTCAAAACTGCAGGTTTTCAATTTCAGTAAGCATGTACTGAATTCAATTCAATTCAAATCTTTATTGTCAGTGCACAACATATATATAATGAGATTGGTTGAGCTCCCTCAGTGCACACACACACACACCCCAACACAATACAACTCACAGTGAAGACAGAAAATCCCTAACCCAGGGGTGGGCAATTGTGGCCCTTTTACAACCTGTGGACTTCAACTCCCAGAATTCCTGAGACAGCCAAGCTGGCTCAGGAATTCTGGGAGTTGAAGTCCACAGGTTGTTAAAGGGCCACAGTTGCCCACCCCTGCCCTAACCCAATAAATCATATTAACAAAACACCTAGTTCTATTATACCAGCGTGAACATGTTATACATTGCGCCGGCCCTGCATTCCATCATTCTATGTAGTTATGATGTTTTTTCTCATTCAGGAGTCTGACAGCCCACGGATAAAAACTGTTCTTCAGCCTGTTTGTGCAGCTGGCTATGCTTCTATATCTCCTTCCCAATGGTAGGAGGGTAAAGAAGTGATGAGCAGGGTGAGAATTTTTATAATAAGGAATATTAGCCATGTAAGCATTTATTCACACTGACGATTATAAGGCATGATGGATATGTGAGACTTGAAGGATTAAGGATGAACCATTACAGCATCCCCATGGCCACGTGATCAATATTCAGATGTTTGGCAATTGACTCATATTTATGACGGTTGCAATGTCCCGGAGTCACATGATCACTTTTTGCCACCTTCTGACATGCAAAGTTAATGAGGAAGTCAGATTCACTTAACAACTGTGTTACTAACTGAACAACGGCAATGATTCACTTAACAATTGTGGAAAGAAAGGTCATAAAATGGGGCAAAATTCACTGAACAATTGTCTCACTTAGCAACAGAAATGTTGGGCTCAGTTATGGTCATAAGGCAAGGATTACCTGTACTGTGATGGCTTGGTCTACCGTTTAGACCAGGGGTGGGCAACTGTGGCCCTTTTACAACCTGTGGACTTCAACTCCCAGAATTCCTGAACTAGCTTGGCTGGCTCAGGAATTCTGGGAGTTGAAGTCCACAGGTTGTAAAAGGGCCACAGTTGCCCACCCCTGGCTTAGACTAAAACCAAACTTTTTTTTGAGGGGGGGGGCGATAGTGGGGAGTGAACTCCAAAAAGCAGTAAGAGCAGGATAAATATTTAATGTAATTTAGTTTAAAAAAAATTACAATTCAACAGGAATTTTTGGAGACCCCTTGAGGAATTCCCCAACTCTTTCAGGGATTGCATGCAACCCCAAAGAGATAAATCCATTGTGATTCCCAATATATGATTCTGTTTATGGTTGTTGTTATTTTACTCCGGTCCAAGAAAGTGTGCCTTTTGGTGCAGTTTCTGGAGTTGCACCAGCAGGAGGCACAATTGAGCATCCATAGATTTCCCAGAGGCAGTTTTGATTGGCGCCAAAGGGAACAAAATACCTGTCTTTCCAGAGATCCATCACTATATTTCTTATGATTATGTCAACCTGATGGTGCAATTACATTCCCTGCATTAACAAACTATATTAACAAAAGTTGAGCCAGACACTGATCAGGTGTTTTAAGGCCTTTAAAAAAAATAATAATGATCCTCATTCTGCATTTGTAAATTCTGTGCTCTCAAACTGACATTCCCCCGGGACAGCAATTTCCTTTGACACCTGCAGTAATGACAATATAATGACTGAAATGAAGAACCTGGTGCTTAAAACAATCCCTGGGGCCCCCAGCGGCTTTCAAAGTTGCCAGGGGTGGCGGATTGCTTTGTTCTTTTCCAACTTTCTTTTCTTCTCCTTGAGAAAGTTGAGACACTTATAATCATAATAATTAAGTGGTTGCTTCTTTGATTCTCCATATTCCCCCTTCTAAAGGTATACGGAGTTCTTAATAAGCTGTGAGGAGGTAGTGACACAAAGCCTTAAGGGAATATGGCTGAAATTAAAATAATTAATGGCAAAAGGCCAAACATTTCACACTGCATAACAGATAAATTGCCTTGTCTTCCTTGCTACCCAGATGGCACAGTATCAGCAATTGGATGAAATACAATACACATTTAGGCCTGCCTAGAGCAGCTGCTTTGCAGGCTAACGTTAAGAAATGACTTATCGAATGAATTTATTGCATATACTTCGTTGGTGAATGCCACCTGCTTTAATGAAATGCACAGTCAGCTAGGCACACAGAACCATATACAAGTGAGACTTGGATTCAATGGATCTCATTTAAAAGACTTTGGATGCAACAGACCAAACCATTTTGCATCCCCTTGTAATAATAAGAGGCCTGCTGCATCCAAAGTAGTGAATACCACTTTATAACGCCTTGGTAAGGCCACACTTGAAATACTGAATCCGGTTTTGGTTGCCACGATGTAAACAAGATGTGGAGACTCTAGAAAGAGTGTAAAGAAGAGCAACAAAGATGATTAAGGGACTGGAGGCTAAAACATATGAAGAACGGTTGCAGGAACTGGGTATGTCTAGTTTGATGAAAAGAAGGACTAGGGGAGACATGATAGCAGTGTTCCAATATCTCAGGGGCTGCCACAAAGAAGAGGGAGTCAAGCTATTCTCCAAAGCATCTGAGGACAGGACAAGAAGCAATGGGCGGAAACCAGAGGTTTCAGCAGGTTCTGACCAGTTCTGGAGAACTGTAGTGGAAATTTTGAGTAGTTCGGAGAACCGGTAGTAAAAATTCTGACTGGCCCCACCCACATCTATTCTCTGCCTCCCAAGTCCCAGCTGATCAGGAGGAAATGGGGATTTTGCAATATCCTTCCCCCGGAGTGGGGTGGGAATGGAGATTTTATAGTATCCTTCCCCTGCCATGCCCATCAAGCCATGCCATGCCCACAGAACCAGTAGTAAAAAAATTTGAAATCCACCACTGGTGGAAACTAATCAAGGAGAGAAGCAACCTAGAACTAAGTTGAAATTTATGACAGAACAATTAATCAGTGGAATAACTTGCCTTCGGAAGCTGTAAATGCTCCAACACTGGAAATTTTTAAGAAGAAATTGGATAACCATTTGTCTGAAGTGATGTAGGGTTTCCTGTCTAAGCAGGGGGAATTTAACCTGAATACTGAGGTTTTAGTATAGAAAAAAAACAACTCATACATTAACATCTTTTGTCTTTAAAAGAAAAACACAGTAACAGAGCTTTCAATGGTACAAACAACTTTTTATTGAAAGGTAAAAGTTTGCCTTTGCCATGCTTTTGAACTTGGGAAAGTTAAAAGAGTCAAGGCTTCTGTGTTATAGGTGTGGTGTATGTAAGATAACGCAGCGAACCGTAGACTTTTAGAGACAAGCTATGAACAGTTTTGATTCAGGCTTTGCAGGTAACTTTCAGGACGGGCTTATGAGCAGGCGGGGAAAAACCAAGTTACTGATCAGGAGGGTAATTCGGCTAACCAATAACTGGGACTCCTCCTCACAACCCTATTGAATAACACAAGAGCCAAGCTGGGCACATGGAGAGACGGTGGGGGAAGAAGAGTCATTATTTAACCACCCACCCACCCGAGGGGAAATGGAGCATTCACCTTCTTTCTCCCAAAGCTTTTCAGGGGCTTCCCGGCTGCTCCCAAGAGCTGTGAGCAGCAGCACAGGGGAGGCAAGCCTAGGCACGCTCTTCCCAATTCGCCGGCCAAATTGCTCCCCCCACACCGGTTTCTGCAGGAAAGTCCCGCCACTGAATGGACTTGAAAATGAAAGGGAACCTCGAGGTGAGATTCCACGTGAATCTTTCAGGCGCCGCTTCCTCCTCCACACCGGGGCAACGGAAAGGACCGCGGCACGTAAAAGGTGTGCGCCAGAGGGGAGGGGGGAGAGCAGTGTGCAAAATTCCTCGAGAAGAGTGGAGGAAACGGCCGTTCCTGGCAAGCGTGGCTTGGGTGTTGGGCCGATGCTCAATACCAGGGGTCCTCAAACTTTTTTAACAGGGGGCCAATTCACGGTCCCTCAGACTGTTGGGGGGCCAGACTGGCTGGTTAGGTGTGGCTACGTGGTTATGTGCAGTTGTTGTGGATTTAATAAGACAAACACAACTTTTAGATTAATCAGAGACAAATTATATATTGCGCAATAGGTTCAAAGCTCTGTACATGAAGCGTTGAACAAAGACAGAAATTAGGTACAATGGTTTTATACCCTTCTAGACAAAGGATTCTGTTAACTCAGCAATTCATATGGTCATATACATTTGTCATTTTTAATTGACATTTCCTAATTACTGAGTTTCTTTGCAAAAGTTATAATTCTTTTTGTAGATTACTGAAGCATAGATTCAAATCATCTTCTGACGATAGACAACTTTTAACTCATGTGGATCCCCTTGACCTAACCAACCTTTAAGCTGTATGTCATTAGAATGTTCCTTTCTTTTGACAACTTAGAGGCCTCCTAGAGGAACCAAAAGGATTTTGGCTGAGTTTGTACTTTTTCCAACCGGATGCATTGCTTTTTAGAATAGAGTGAATAGAAAGTTATCCAGTGGTCATCTATCAGAGCCCGCTTCATTTACATTACAGCGGTGGGTTTCAAATTTTTTTACTACCGGTTCTGTGGATGTGGCTTTGTGGGCGTGGCTTTGTGGGCATGGCAGGGGAAGAATACTGTAAAATCTCCATTCCCACCCCACTCCAGGAGAAGGTTACTGCAAAATCCCCATTTCCTCCCAATCAGCTGGGACTTGGGAGGCAGAGAATAGGTGGGGGCGGGGCCAGTCACAATTTTTACTACCGGTTCTCTGTGCTACTCAAAATTTCTGCTACCGGTTCTCCAGAACTGGTCAGAACCTGTGGAAACCCACCTCTGGTCATGTGACTGGGTGTGCATGGCCAATTTAGCAGTCCATTAAACAATACACACAAATTAAACTTTAATTTGTTATGCTCCTGGGAGTGGAAATCAGGTTAGTGAAGGGATGCGGCTGCCTTGGGGTGTGTGAGAGGGACTTCTGCATTTGTGTGTGTGTGTGTGTGTGTGTGTTGTGTGTCCCTCCCTCCCTTTCTCTCTCCCTCTCCCTCTCTCTGGAGGCCGGGAAAGCCAAAAATGGGCCTGTTTTTGGCCTCCTTGGCCTCCAGAAGGCAAACGGGGGCCGGCAGGTAGGTGAGGCGATGTGGGTCCCGCGCGGGCTGAATTAATGGCTTCGGCGGGCCATATCCAGCCTGTGGGCCGTAGTTTGAGGACCCCTACTCAATACTCTTCTCCTTGTATGCTGCGCCACTATTGTAAGGTTCCGCTTTTAAGGAGGAAGGGAGGGAGTTTTCCTTGTAACCCTGGTCGAGGATTGAGAGCTTGTTTTCTTTGTCTTGTGGGAAGGTGAGCGAGATAGTCTAGCGGCTAGGGTGCCCACAGAGAGGGCTCTGAGTGCCCCTTCTGGCACGCGTGCCATAGGTTCGCCACCACTGCCCTATATCATTCCGGAGAAATAGCTGTCCAATCTCTTCTTAAAAGCCTCTAGTGATGGAGCACCCACAACTTCTGGAGGCAAATCCATCCATTGTCAGGAAGCTACTTCTTCCTTCTAGGTTCGATCTCTCTGCAATGATCTTCCATGTGTTCCTTCTTGTCTTGCCTTTAAGTCCCCCTCTTCTCTGTGGCAGCCTCTCAAATATTGGAAGGCTCTTATCGTGTCACCCCTATTCCTTCTCTTTGTTAGACCAGACACACCCCCTTCCTTCAACTGTTTATTATATTGTTTATTGTACATTTTAGCCTCCAGACCCCTCATTCTCTTTGCTGCTCTTTTCTGGACTCTTTCTAGAGTATCAATATATATATATATATATATATATTTGTATTGTGGTGGCCAGAACTGGATTCAGAAATTCCAAGGGTGGCTTCCCAGGGCAGTAGATAGCAGTGTGTGGATCTCAGGATGCATAAATTCTGGGATTTCACTGGATCTCCACATTTGGCTAATCACCAGATGAGTTTCAGGTGAAGTGGCTGTCTGGTGGATGGTTGGAGCTGTGGCTGTGAATGGGGGACTCAGCTGAGCAGGAGAGGTTGAGGGGTCTAGAGGGACAGGCAGGCCAAGAGTTCCAGGGGGAAGACTAGATGATCTCCACCCTCTTCCTGTCTCCTACTCCTTAAAAGGGAGGATCTGAAAGGAAGCTGTTAAATCTCAGCAGGAGAAGGTCCAGGCCAATGGTGGGATTCAACCGGTTTGCACCACTTCGGCCGAACCAGTTGTTGCTGGCTGGCCCACCCCTGTCCCTTCCAGAAGTCCCCACGCACCCGTTTTGGCTCCCAGGTAAGTGCAGGGAGGCCTACTAGTCCCAAAACAGGGCACGGGGTGTGTGGCATGGCCCCACCGTGGCCCATTTTTGCACCCAGGAGGCTGCAGGGAAGCCTACTAGGTACAAAATGGGGCGCGGGGGTACGGTGTGGCTCCCTCGTGGTCCGTTTTTGCTCCCAGCAGGCTGCAGGGAGGCCTACTACCCTGTTTTCCCCAAAATAAGACATCCCCTGATAATAAGCCCAATCGGGCTTTTGAGCGCATGTTAGTAAGGCCAAGCGTTTATTTCAGGGTTCAAAAAAATATAAGACAGGGTCTTATTTTCAGGGAAACATGGTAGGCCAAAAATGAAGTGTGGGGGGGGCGGCGCACCTCCCCCCCGCCACGGCCAGTTTTTGCTCTCAGGGGGGTGCAAGAGGCCAAGTGCTGCCTGTCACATCCCCTGGCCACGCCCACCATGGCCACGCCCACCATGGCCACGCCCACTCAGCCGGTCATTAGGGCAGAGAACCAGTGTTAAATTATTTGAATCCCACTACTGGTCCAGGCCGTGATTATTCTCCCCTCCCCAATCGGCCACCTTCAATGTCCTTCAAAGGCAGAAATCTTTCACATCAGAAAGCGGGAATGAGGGCAGGATTAACCCAGGAGTTCTGTAGAAAAAAGAGATGGGGAAGAAAATTAGAATATAAAGCAAAACCTGCAGAATAAATAGACACTGCTGGAAAAATCTCCCCTCCCCCTCTATTTCAGCACCCCCCCCTGTCACAGGCCTACACTGCAGGGGGGTGGTTGATAAGCAGGGACTGGAGGGAGGGAGCCCCCTTTACTGCCTCTGCCTGGACGGGGAAGGTCAAGGAAATATCCCCCACCTCCGAAACATCTGAATTGTCGTTTTCTATACCCGTAAATTCCTTTCTTTGTTGTGTGTGTACTTCTTGTGGTTGTCTCTTGTAGGAGGAGGAAGTGTGGGTGTGTTTTTTGTCTTTTTCATTTTGTTTGATCACTTCCTGTTTATTTTGGTCCTTTATATGGTCGGATTCAGCTTTTAGGGATCATTCACTACATTGTATATTTTCTGAAGGGAAACATATAGGGTTGAACCAGCGATGGGTGTTCAGAGAGACCGGGAGGCGGGGGGGAATTTGAACCAAGATGGGGCTAGGACTGGGGTGGCAGGAGAGGAGGGAGACTGGTGTCACTTTGCCAGAAATTGTGTGAAATGCAATGGGGGGGGGAGAAGGGGGGAGGAAGGGTTGTCCATGAACTTGGGGTGCTTCCTCCCTCCAATGACAGAGATGCCCCTCCCCATCCTTCCCTTCTGCAACTTTCCAAATCTGGGAAACATCCTGAATGAGATTTTACTGTTTGTGTTTCCTTGCACTGCATTTTGGGGAGTCTCTGAAAGGAAACGATAGCTAAAGTTTTGACAAATTTGCCTCATCCACAGCCAAGCAGCTTTGCAGGATCACTTCAAGGTTGTTTCAATTAGCTCAAATCCTTTTTTTTTTTTTTTTTGTTAAAGGAAGATTTAAAGACTTTTTAAAACATTTCATTTATAACTTTGTGGGGAGGGATTCGGTTGAGGCGAATAGAAAAAAACTCACCTGCAGGAAATTGTCTGGGAGTTGCTGGAAGGAGAAAAAGACTTAATCAGGACCCTTCATGGGCTGGAGACTCAGGGGGTCCCTCTCCCCTCCAATAGCCCGGAATAGGTTGCATGATCTTCACTTATGGAACAAAATTTCTCAAGGGGATCCTCTTGGCCATCTGCTAAGCTGGATGAGAGGCCTCCCCTAGATGGTCCCCTCCCCACAACCGCTTATCCAGCCCCACAGACTCACCTTTCTTGCTCTTTAGGTAAGAGAAGAGCCCCACAGACAGGAAGGCCACCCCCAGCACAGCCCCCACGACCCCCGTCCAGAGTTTGCTCCTGGCAGAGTTGGAGGAACGGGGCTCTGGAGAAGGAGAAGAAGCCTCATCTGAGCAGGGGGATCAGACCCCAGGAGAGTCCATTCTGGCTCCCCCCACATGGAGGGTCTTTCTCCCTTCTCAGGGCAGGATGGTGTCCCCCAGATCAGGAAGGGAGGGAGAGCCTTACCCCACTGGACAGTGATGGGAGCCTCCAGGCTGGCATGCTCCACCTTGCAAGTGTAGAGGTCCCCCCACTGGGGCTGGGTCTCCAGAATCACCTGGAGCTGGTAGGTCCAGTCTCCATTCTGGAGCTCCTCCCCGAAGGCCACGCCCTCCTTCTCTGGCCGGCCGTTCTTCAGCCACTGGATCTCGATCTCCATGGGGTAAAAGCCCATTGCGGTGCAGAGGAGGATGGTGTTGGGGGAAGCGGGGTCCATCTTAGTGGCGGAGATGGCGACGGTGGGCTTGACTGGAGGGAAGGAGAAGGACATGAGAGGCACAACAGGATCCAGAACAGAAGACCAGGCTGGTTATTTCAGGCCAAGGTCCCATTTTTTTACTGCTAAAAATATTCTGTGTTTTGAATATCTATGGAGATACTCCATCATCCAGGTCATGGTTGTCCCAAAAGTGCTTTTTCAAAAGGCAACTGAACTTCCTTTAGTTTTCCTTGAAGATGTTTCGCTTCTCATCCAAGAGGTTTTTTCAGTTTTAACTGACTTACAGTTAAAAGAGTTCTTGGTTGCTTCTCTCCTTGATTGGTTTCCATTCGTCGTTTCTTGTCCTGCCTTCAGTGCTCCGAGATGGAAGGAACCTTCTTCCAGATGTGGTGGAGATGGAAAGTAACCCAGAACGGCTTTGAAGGCAATGACCAGCACCTTGAACTGCGCCCAGAAGCAGACTGGCAGCCAATGGATCTCGCGGAGTAGTGGTGTCCCCCTAGGGACTCCAAGAAGTGCCCATACTGCCACAGTCTGCACCAGTGGAAGTCTCCGAATGCTCTTCAAGGGTAGGCCCATGTAGAGTGCATTGTAGTAGTCCAGACGTGAGATGACCAGAGCTTGAATGATGAAGCGCAAAGACTCCTGATCCAGGAAAGGCTACAATTGATGTACTTACCAAGTTGTGCAAAGGCTGGTCTAGCCACAACTTCCACCTGATCCTTGAGTCTTGAATCCAGGAGAATACCCAAATTGCGAACTGGATCTGTCTGGGGTAGTGCCACTCCCTCCAGAATTAAGTTAGGTGAAGTCCTGGATCTTGAAGCTCCCTGCACTCAAAGCCACCCGGTCTCCTGTAAAAGCACCTTTGGCACAACCATGACCTGGATGGCTGAGAATCTCCATAGACTTTTAGCCATGCCCTTTGGGATGAACACCCTTTGAATGGTGCAGGACTGTGAACTTCTAGAAAATAAACATTGCCGACTAAGGGAACCAGTAGCGCTTCAGTGTGAGATGGGAGACAACTCAGACTCATCCCCAACAGCCTGTGCCTGTCTCCAACGGTAAAGGGACCCAGGAAAAGGAAAACATCCTGCAGCCAAGAAGGCTCCACACCAGTGGTGGGTTCCTCCCGGTTCGGTCCGGTTCGGCAGAGCCGGTAGCGGTGACGATATGACATCACCGAACCGGTTCTCCCCCCACCCCCCACCCACGTTATTCTTACCTTTTATTTGGTCCCACCCCCAATCTATTGCTGCCTCCTGAGTCCCAGCTGATGACTAGAGGGAAAAAAACTGTTTAAACTCTTGCCGCGGGGCTTCAAAGAGCCGTCCTACAGCTGATCAGTGTTAAAAGCAAACAAATGAGTCAGGTCGTAAGTGCGAGGACTGGTCGTAAGTGCGAGGACCTTCCAGAAATGACTGACCAGCTAGCCACGCCCACCTAGTCACATGACCTCCAAGCCACACCCACAAAATAAGCCACGCCCACAGAACCGGTGGTAAAAAAAATTTAGAACCCACCCCTGCTCCACACCCATTTGCACCACTCAGTGCTTCAACGACCCTATGAAAGGATGCAAATGACCAGCTGTCTGCAAGGAGTATAAATCCTTCCACCCTCCACCGTTCAGTCAGAACTGAAGAAGCTTCTTGGATGAGAAGTGAAACATCTTCAGAGAAAAAGCAAGAAAGTCCAGTTGCCTCTTGAAAAAAACATCTTTGGGACAACTGTGACCTGGATAACTGAGACTCTCCATAGACAAAGGAGCCAAACCAGAACCACCCAGACCCAAACCCAAAAGGATATCATGATTGATGATGCCAAAGGCTGCTGAGAGCTCAAGGAGAGCGAGGAGGGTTGCACTACCCCCGTCCCTCCCTCACCAGAGATCACCAACCAGTGTGACCAATGCCGTTTCCATCCCATAATTCGGCCTGAATCCTAACTGGGAGGGGTCCAGATCAGTAGTGGGTTTCACTTACCTTCGCTACCGGTTCGGACCTGTGAGAGTGCTCTGGATAGAAAAGGCACACTAGACGAAAGAGACTCCACCGATTCCCTTTTCCTTATTTTTTATACATTTTTGTTGAGGGGTTATGCTATATTGTACACCAGCCTGAGCCCCTCTTTGAGGGAGGTGGGAAGTTTGGAAATATCAATAAATATCAGTAAATACAAATGAATAAATTTCACAGATCTGAGAGGACAAAATATGCAAGGATTAAATTTTTATCCTGGAGACTCTTAATGAAGGGAAGGGAAGGGAAGGGAAGGGAAGGGAAGGGGAAAGGAAAGGAAAGGAAAGGAAAGGAAAGGAAAGGAAAGGAAAGGAAAGGAAAGGAAAGGAAAGGAAAGGAAAGGAAAGGAAAGGAAAGGAAAGGAAAGGAAATGGGGTGCCAGGATCCCCTCTCTGGAACTCCCCCTCCCACACTCACTTCTCCGGCCAACCAGAAAATTCCTCTGGAGCGTCCCGTAGTTGAATCGGCAGAATTGATCCACTTGGGCCTTCGCCATCTTCAGGAACTGTGGATTGTTCCACTTGTCCGCATCTGGCCGCCCAAACTCCGTGATGGCCACGTGTCTCCCGAGGTCGCTATCGAAGCGGACGATCTCCTGCTGATCGTAGATGTACCTGAACAGGAACTGCACCCGCTGCGTCCCATTGAGGTAGTGGCACTCACACTTCCACTGGGCCAGGAAATGGGCTGCAGGGAGGAGGAAGAAGAAGGCCGTCAGTAGGGACTCCAGAGCCCATCGTTCCCAGCCACCACCAGATAGGGAGCCACGCTTGTCAAGAGGAGAGGCGGGAAACCTGCAGCGAGACTGCTTGAAGGCGCCCCCTGGAGGACGGATGGGGAACTCGTTCAAGTGGGATTCCCCCTTGGTGGAGGTCTGGAGAGGGAAGGATAATGAAAGACGGGAGGAGCTTCCTGAGGGACCTCCTCCATCTTCCAAGGGTGCAATAAGGCAGGCAGAAGTTCAACTGGTCCAGCAATCTGCAGGGAACGTTGGATCTCGGTGAGGCCTCTTTGCCCCCCTAAACAGCAAGAAATATGTGAGCAGGGCAGTCAAGTCTGAGCCTGAGGGAAAATAATATTCATGCTTTTCTCTCCCTCTTCCTTTGGCGGGGGGGGGGGAGAGATGTGGAGGGGTCACAATAAGATCTACACCAATGCTCCTGGGCTCTCCCAGCCTTTCCATCCCCACCTTCCCTTTTCTTCTCCCCACATCTTCAGCCTTACTTGCTGCCTTTGGAGGATTTTCAAGGCCTCTTTCCTGTTCCCCTCCCAAATAGACCCCCCTGCAAACCTCCCATGACCATTTCAAAAAGAGGGGCTCCACCCCACTTCACTAAAGGGAGAGTTTGGAAGAGCAACTCAGACCCCCCCCAATATCTCTCCCAATAGAAGCGGAGAAGGCGAGAGAAGGGAAGATTTTCAGTCTTGGGGGGCTGCAGCTTCAGGGGTGGGATTGTGCCAGGGGTGGAGTGTGGACTTCTTTTGCGCCTGCCCCCCCCCAATGATCCTCAACGTGAGTGTCCTTTTCATTGCTGCCTTTGCGGCATTGAGGCACAATTGTCCTCCTAACTGTGAGGACGATTAACCAGCGGAACAGTTTGCCACCAAAAGTTGTGGGTGCTCCATCACTGGAGGATTTTAAGAAGAGACTGGACAGTCGCTTGTCTGATATGGTAGAGGGTCTCCTGCTTGAGCAGGGGGTTGGACTAGAAGACCTCCAAGGTCCCTTCCGATTCTGTAATTCTGTGATTCTTTCTCTACCTGCCTGTAGGGGTGGACTAGATGTCCCTTTTAGCTCTTTTAAAGCCCCAGTGAGTCCAGGCTGGGTCTGCCGAGATTTTGAAAGGGCCAAGTGGATCTAGGTGTCTCCATCCTGCAGGTCCTGGTTGGCTCAACGGGATTTTTCCAAAAGGCAGCTGGACTTTCTTGGTTTTTCCTTGAAAACGTTTCGCTTGTCATCCCAGAAGCTTCTTCAGTTCTGACTGAAGGGTGGAGGATGGAAGGATTGATATTCCTTGCGGTCATCTGATCAGTTTGAAAGTCAGTCCCCGGTTCTCTGAGGGTCCTTGAAGACCATCAGTGGTTTATCTGGGCTCTCAGGGTCCCCCGAATCAGGGTGCAAATGGGGGTGGATGGAGCCTTCTTGGGGCTGCTGAAAGAACTATTGCGGGTGGGGTCTTTTCCCTTCCCCTCTGTTGAGGGACGACTGCTCAATTTTGACATAACTGGCATAGGGGTCTGGGGATGCGGGAGAGAAGGGAACCCCAGATTCCCTGTTTACCCCCAAATTTTCTTCCCCTTGCTAGGTGCCTTTGCATGATTTGGGGGTTCAGCCCTCTTTTCTGTCCCCCTGCAGCCCCCCAAGGCCATGTCAAAGGGAAGGTCTCCAGCCCCCTCACCAAAATGGATAGGTTGGGGGGAGCCATAGAAGAGCAATTCAGACCCCCCCTCCTCCAATATCCTTTTCCTTCAGGTCCCGATTCAGCAATGGGGGAATATGAGGTGGAGGTTTCTGAGTCTCCCCTCAAAAATTCAGAGTCTCCCCCAAGAAGGAATCGAAGCTCAACTCTTCCCTCCCCTTAAAAAAAAAAAAAATGGAGATTCGGAAGAAAAACTGAAGTTGCAAAAAACACTTTTGCCCAAAAGCGTCTTTTTTTTTTCTTATACTCTTGGTGGCATTTGTGGATTCAGGGCTGAAAATGCTTCAGTTTCCTTCTTTCACTTTCGCCTTCCGTCTCTTTCGATGCAAGAAACTTTGGGGCTCAGGCGGTAATTCGAGGTCCCGTTAGGTCCCACTCCCACCCAGCCACGGGGAGGGGGGGAGGCGAGAGCCCCCCCATACCTCTTATCCAACATCGGTTGCTTTCCCGCCACCCCCGCCCTCCTCTGCCACAACCGGGGAAGAGGGGGGGCTCTCTTCATCCTGCGGGGGGGGGATGTGGCGAGGGAGGGGGTGGAGACCACGCGGAGATCGAGATTCCTGCAGGCTCCAACTTCTCTTGCCCTCCACCCCTTTTCACACTACTTTCTTCTCCCCCCCCCACCACCCGAGCACTGACTCCCAACCCCTCCCCTCCCCACGACGAATCCCTTTCCTTACCCGGGGTCTCCTCCCCACCCCCTTCGCTTCCAGGCATCCGGGCCAGCGTCCCCACCAGCAGCAGCAACAGGGGGACCCCAGCAGAGCCCATGGATGCTGCCCCACAAGCGCCCCCAAAGGGAGAGGAGAAAGGCACGGATGCTCCCAACCCCACAGGAGGAATCGGTGGGTTTGGAGGAGGCGTTTTCCACGAATTTCGAAATTGGGAGTACCCTGAAAAGCGGAAGGACCAATCGGAAGTCTCCCTTCTGCAGCGTCATCAGTCTCCGGGCAGAGCCTGCCTTGACTTCATCTCAAGAGAAGATAGTTCGAAGTAGAGAGAGAAGCGGAGAAAGTGGGACGGGGCTCCTATCCACCTTGCTGCTCATCGTCCTCTTCTTCTGATCCTTTCCACCTTTCCCAGCATTTTTCCAGAGAGCTGCGTTTTCACAGAACGTTTTCTGTTGTTCAAGTCCAACATTAACCAATGTTTTTATTGTTCAATCACCCTGCTTCCTTGCGGAGCACATATATCAAATGTACTCTAGAAAAAGTTGACCCTCCCTCTTCAATAAATTCTTTCTGCTTTGCCTGAATTACTTGATGATTCATTTTTGGGTGAGCATTAAGCTCCTTTGCAAAGGTAAAAGTCTCTCTGTCTCTCTCTCTCTCTCACACACACACACGCACACACACACAGGTGGGAAACAGAGTTGTATTGTTTGTAAGAATTGTAAGAAGAGATGTTGGCCTGTGAAAAAAATACATTGTATATGTTTCTAATCTCATGAGCTAGGCTGAAGCGTGAGGATTGTACGTAGGAGCTAGGATTAGAGGCCTTTGCTATATTAGAAACCAGCTATAACCATTCATCATTGGCATCCTGCAGTCTCAAGAGACTATGGTATCGTGCTCTGGAAAGAGGTCCTAAAACAGCATCTTGTGTGACTAAAAAGGCCAATTCGAGAGTGGCAATCCCTTCCACACTGAGGGCAGATAGATTCTATCCCCTGCCCAGCCCCCAGATTTCGCTGGTTCTGGGACTGTCCGGGGCCTTTAGGTCCCTCTTGAAGATATCCTTATATTGCAGCTGTGGTCTCCCTCTGAGGTGCTTTCCCTGCACTAATTCTCCATACAGGAGCCATTCTCACGACATGCCCCAGCCAGCGTAGATGTCGCTGTTTCAATAGTGTATACATGCTAGAAATTCCAGCACGTTCCAAGACTGTGCTATTTGGAACTTTGTCCTGCCAGGTGATGCCAAGAATTCATTGGAGACAGCCAGTGGTGAAATCTAAAATTTGTTACTACCGGTTCTGTAGTAGGCTTGGGGGTGGGTGGGTAATGTGACTGGGTGGGTGTGGCCATTTTTTTTTACTTTTAAAACCATTTTTTTCTACAACCTCTTTGGCGGAGAGGTTGTAAAAAAATGCTTTCAAAAGGCTCTGACGATCCCAGCTGAGTTGCCTGATCGGCAGAGGCATTTAAAAGTTTAAAAAACTCAGCTTGGATCGTCAGAGGCATATAAAAGAAAAATAGGTTTTTTTTTCTTTTAAATGCCTCTGACAATCCAAGCTGAGTTGCCTGATCAGCAGAGGCTTTTTTAAACGATGCTTTGACGATCCCAGCTGAGCCGCGCAGTCATCAGAGGCTTTTTTTTTTTAATTTTTAAAAGCATTTTTTTTCCGCTGAAGAGGTTGTAGAAAAAATGCTTTTAAAAGTAAAAAAAAAAGCCTCAGATGATTGTGTGGCTCATCTGGGCATGGGGTGGGGGCAGGGATTTTTGCTACCGGTTCTCCGAACCACCCGCCTCCATCACTACCGGATCAGGCGATCCGGTCTGAACCAGGAGCATTTCATCCCTGGAGGCAGCGCATATGAAAGGTGTTCAACTTTCTCTCCTGCCATGCGTAAAGGGTCCAAGACTCACTGCAGTACAAGAGAGTGCTCAGGACGCAGGCTCTATAGACCTGGATCTTTGTATGTGCCGTCAGCTTCTTATTAAGCCATACTCTCTTTGTAAGTCTGGAAAATGTGGTGGCCGCTTTACCAATATGTTTATTCAACTCAGTATCTAAAGAGAGAGTGTCAGAGATAGTTGAGCCGAGGTATACAAAGTCATGGACGACCTTCAGTTCTTGTGCAGAGATTGTAATACAGGGAGGTGAATTCACGTCCTGACCCATGACTTGTGTCTTTTTCAGGCTGATTGTTAGTCCAAAGTCTTGGCAGGCTATTCTGCCCCAGCTACGGACCCCAAAGAACGCAGCACAGACAAAGTCTGTACAAACCTTAGTTTACTAAAATAAAATCAGTTTTCTTTTTCTTACAGACAAAGGCTGTTAATGAACGTTCTTAACAGCCTGCAAGAATCTGAAGAATAAATAATCTTAATCTTACTATGTTTGGCAGAAAGCCCAGAAGCAATTTGCAGATAACTAAGATAAAGGCACGAAGGAGAGTGAACGAAGATGTTCCCTGCAAATTGCTTCAGTCAGCGTTCTTCCTTAAATAGGCTAAGGGAATGGCCAATTAGCCCCAAGCCTTACTCTCGAGGAGACCTCCTCCTGAGGAGCCACTCCTGCCTTTTGGCAGCTCTGCACGCCCGTGCATCGAGAAGAGGCTCCTCCTCTTCGTCCTCTTCACTTAAGGGAGCTTCTGGAGGTTCTGAAGGCCCTGGCTGAATCCCTGCCTCTGGCACCACATCTTCTCCAGCTTCCTCATTGTCCGACTCAAGTGCCAGCTGCACAGGCTGCTGGCGCAGCACCACACCAGCCTCCTCACTGTCCGAATCAGCCACCAGCTGCACAGGCCACATACGGGCCACAACACAGGCCATGCTAAAACTATCCATAAATTGTTGAAGGTCTTCAGCTATAACCAGATTTTACTGATATGATAGTTACTCTAGAGACAACCCCTAGGAACTAGGACCATAAAAGGAAATTTGTAAATAAGGGCAGGAGGAGATAGAATTAGAGTAGTGGGATCAAAGGCGGAGATAATGTATTCATTTTAGACACTTTGGATAAGTTGTGACATCATTATTTCTAAGTCAATGAAGAAGAGGTGGGAGGTAAATTTGTAAAGGTACTAGAGAATATAAGGCAAATGTATTGATGATTTAGGGTGTGTCCACTGTACCTACGTGTGTGTGGTCCACCCGCTTTGCAAAGTGAAGAATAAAATTACCATTGTTTTCCCTTGGAAGTTTTGCCTGGTGATTGTTTATTTCCAAAGTAGACAACGAATCCCACACACACATACACAGACAGACAGATGGACAAATCCAGGGATCAAGTTCTTAAGAGCTCCGTGCCTGAGTTCTTATCAGGATGCCCGAGTTCTGAGGCAGCAGCCTTTTCTGTGAGAGTTCCTAATAACAACAACCTTGTGAGGTTGATCAGGCCAAGATAATTTGACCGTCGTCCAATCAGTTCTGAGCGTTGACTTGAACCCGGATCTCAAGTCACTAGACTATTTTTAGGGGAAAGCACTCGCTTTCAAACACAAGGACACAAACCCTTTGTGAAAATAATGTACAACGAGCATTCAGTCAAGAGGAAAAGTTGCGTATATCCAAAGGAAATGGCCCCAGAATGAGGGCAAATCTTCCTGCCATTTTCAAAAGCAAACATTTGGTGGCACTGTCAAAGACAAATCATTGCCATCCACCATAGTCCATCAAGGGGGTAACAGTTGGGCACTGACAGTTAGCGGTTGTGATGTCACACACAGAGAGTAGCTGATTGGCTGGGAAGAAAAATAAAGCAACTGGGCAGTTAGGCTTTGCAAGGAAAGCAGTTGGGAAGTGTCCAAGGTCTCTCCAATGAAGCCACAAGGAGACTTTTGAAGGATACAAATTAAGGGATTCCCATCATAAGTAAGGTGACCAGATTTTAACATTGGTAAAGAGGGACATTGTGGGCGTGGCTTATTTTGTGGGCGTGGCTAGCTGGTCATGTGACTGGGTGGGCGTGGCTAGCTGGTCATGTGACCGGGTGGCCATGGCTATGTGTATAGGGTAAGGTGAACAGATTTTAACATTGGTAAGAAGGACACCATTGTGGGCGTGACTTATTGTGTGGGCGTGGCTTGGAGGCCATGTGACTGGGTGGGCGTGGCTAGCTGGTCATGTGACCGGGTGGCCATGGCTATGTGTATAGGGACTACTCAGAGGGCTGGAAAGTCATTTCTGACAGGTCCTCACACTTTTGACTGGTCCTCACACTTATGACCATCCTCACATTTATGCCCGTGCAGTATTCTTAACAACCATGTCACTCATTTCACAGCTGCTTCTCTTCACCATGGTGACAAGATAGGGCAAAAACGTAAAATGTGAGGACAGTCGTAAGTTCGAGGACTGGTCAAAAGTGTGAGGACCAGTCAAAAATAACTTTTTCAGCCCTCTGAGTAGTCCATATGCACAAAAGGACTAACCAGAGGGCTGAAAAAATCATTTCTGACAGGTCCTCGCACTTTTGACTGGTCCTCACACTTATGACCATCCTCACATTTATGCCCGTGCAGTATTCTTAACAACCATGTCACTCATTTCACAACTGCTTCTCTTCACCATGGTGACAAGATAGGGCAAAAACGTAAAATGTGAGGACAGTCGTAAGTTCGAGGACTGGTCAAAAGTGTGAGGACCAGTCAAAAATAACTTTTTCAGCCCTCTGAGTAGTCCATATGCACAAAAGGACTAACCAGAGGGCTGAAAAAAGTCATTTCTGACAGGTCCTCTCACTTTTGACTGGTCCTCACACTTATGACCATCCTCACATTTATGCCCGTGCAGCATTCTTAACAACCATGTCACTCATTTCACAACTGCTTCTCTTCACCATGATGACAAGATAGGGCAAAAATGTAAAATGTGAGGACAGTCGTAAGTTTGAGGACTGGACAAAAGTGCGAGGATCAATCAAAAATAACTTTTTCAGCCCTCTGAGTAGTCCATATGCACAAAAGGACTAACCAGAGGGCTGAAAAAAGTGATTTCTGACAGGTCCTCGCACTTTTGACTGGTCCTCACACTTATGACCATCCTCACATTTATGCCCATGCAGCATCCTTAACAACCATGTCACTCATTTCACAACTGCTTCTCTTCACCATGATGATAAGATAGGGCAAAAAACATAAAATGTGAAGACAGTCGTAAGTTCGATGACTGGTCAAAAGTGCGAGGACCAGTCAAAAATAACTTTTTCAGCCCTCTGAGTAGTCCATATGCATAAAAGGATACAGCAATAGAGAGGGATGAAGGAAGGGAAGGGAAATTAGAGTAGGAGTGAGGGTAAGAGGGGGAGGAAGAGAGAAGGAGAAGGAGAAAGGAAGAGGAAGTAGGGAGGAGAAGAAGAGGGGGTGAAGAGAAAGTAAGAAGGAAAGAAAAGAGAGAGGTGGTAGGTTTGAGGAGAAAGATTGCTGTACAATAAAAAAGATGAAAGGGAAGAAAGCCAACCCCAAACAAATATAAAGATATTAAGATAAAGAATGAATGGTTAAACTTTAAAGAATAAAAGAGAACAAATATGAATAAATAGCAGTAATTAGAAACACACATACAAACATACAATGTATTTTCTTTGAACAGAGTATTTGGCCGGTTCACAAATTTAAACAGTGTTTAGTCACTTCAATTAAATTTACAATTTCTATATTTCCTTTTTGCCATATTTATTCCTCATCTATTTTTTTTAAAAAACCAATATTACCCTTCATCCTCATCTCTAATCTTAATCAAATTCAATTTTTCCCTTCTATTCTATATTATACCCCTTTCCATTGTCATCTATTTTTATATCCATCCTCACATTGTTTAATTATGTAATTATGTAATACAGTTGTTTAATACAAATTCAACATTTTAATATATATCAATTAGTTATAAAACTATCTTTTTTGTATATTAATCAATATGAACATGAATATTCCAATTATTTCCATGCAATCCAATTTCTTACAAATCAATTAATTATATTTACCAATAATAATAAACCAAATAATTTCCTCCATATATTCCTCTGAACCACAACGTAAACATTTCTGCTTTCAACACAATATACAATTAATAGTATCTCAATTCAATTATTACAATTCCCTAGTTAAATACAGCTTTTTTTTCTTTTGTGTTTTAAAATCTTGAACTCTCCTCCTAAATTTCCCATTGTTTGCAGTTTTTCACCTACCTTTTTTGGGGAGGAAAAATAAAAATAAAAATAAATCTCTCTCTGCCTCATTTTGTCACGTTCCACCAAAGATCCTGGTTTCGGTTTCGTTTCTGCAGCTTAGCTAGGGGAAAAAAAACCTGCTTCAGGAACTCTTTACACTGATTGCCTGTAGGGCGGCCTTTTGAAGCCCCGGGCAAGAGTTTAAACAGTTTTTTTTTCTTCTAGCCATCAGCTGGGGCTCAAGAGGCAGCGGGACTGAGGAGGCAGAATGAAAAATCGGGACTTTTTTGAAACGCCGCGGGACGCGGACAAATTGCTAAAAAGCGGGACTGTCCCGCCAAAAGCGGGACGTCTGGTCACCTTAATCATAAGTACAAAACTGATCAATTAAAAAAAGAGGGAAGGTGTCTGTGGTATGAAAATGAAGATAGGTGATGGACAGGGGTGGGCTTCAAAAATTTTAGCAAGGGGTTCTCTGCCCAGTTGCTGGGTGGGCGTGGCCATGGTGGGTGTGGCCTAGTTGGCGGGGGGGGCATGTGTTTTTGCCCTCCACGGGCTCTGGAGGTTTCTCTTGCACCTCCAGGATGGCGAAAACGGCCTTCCCAGGCTCCGGAGGCCCTCTAAAATGAGCCGTGTGGGGACTCCTGGGAAGGGCGGGGCAGGGGTGGGCGGGGCCAGCCTGGAGTGGGATTTGGGGGTTCTCCAAATTGCACAGAATCTTAGCTAGAGGTTCTCCTGAACCCCTGCGAACCCCCAGCAGCCCACCCCTGCTGATGGAGAACCCGATGGTCCTTTTAAAGTCAGAAAGCCCCTTGAGTCATTTGGAAAGAAAACATGCCCTTTCCCTTCCTGTATGGCAGGGCCACCATGGTGCACCTGGGTTTAGCAGGAGTGAGATATTCATTGAATACTGGCACTCTCAGAGCTTAGATCAGCTTTGCTGTGGAAGTATGTTGAACAGAACTATTCTCCCAGTGATGTTGACCTGTGTGGTTCACAGTGGAAACACACTGCTGAACTCTTGAACAAATCATGTACAGGAATATCATTAGAAAAGGGATATATATATATATATATATATATATATATATATATATATATATATATATATATATATATATATATATATATATATATATATATATAGGTCTTTGGTTATTCGGGTTTTCTCCCATGTAAAATTGAAGGTTTCTTGGCAACGTTTCGACGAAGTCTCATTCGTCATCTTCAGGCTGGTGTCTTCGGCTTCGTGCTCCTAGAAGCACGAAACCGAAGACATCAGCCTGAAGATGACGAATGAGACTTCGTCAAAACGTTGCCAAGAAACCTCCAATTTTACACGGGAGAAAACCCGAATAACCAAAGACCTACATACAAACACCCGCGAAAACCTCAGAAAACATTTTCTGGGGTTTTCGCGGGTGTTTGTATGTAGGTCTTTGGTTATTCGGGTTTTCTCCCGCGTAAAATTGGAGGTGTCTTGACAACGTTTCGATGAAGTTTCGACTTTGTCGAAACGTTGTCAAGATACCTCCAATTTTACGCGGGAGAAAACCCGAATAACCAAAGACCTATTCCATTTGAACAATGAAGGGATCTAGATTGGGATCAAGGAAGTATAACCCAATTCAAACATTACTGGATTTAAGGATCAGTTACAGCCTGTTTTAGCAGAAAACCATGGTAGAATAATGTTGGTTGACTCTGTTGTAGCTTCAACTGCATCCTCAGCCTTTTAAACCTTTGTCTCTTAGCCTGAGCTACCTTGCAGGCATATTGTTCTGGGGATATTTGTAAATCTCCTCGAATTCCTGCAGAAAATTCAGGATATTTTATAAATTTTGCATCACCATTCATATCAGAGCACAATTCTATGTCACTCATTATAATAAAGCTGCAAAAACATAACACCACTATATGGAAACTAAAAATCTAGTATCTCAATCATTCTTTTGCGGTGTTTCTCAGTCTTGGCTGCTTGAAGACATGTGGGTTTCAATTCCCAGAATTCTATCACCAGCATGGCTGGTTATGGAATTCTGAGAATTGAAGTCCACTCATCTTCAAATAGCCCAGGTTGAGAAACATTGTTCTAGGATATCCCAGCAACCTTTCATAAGGTCTCACTATTCTACCTCAGAACCAGGTCCCGATTGCCTTCCAGATTACTTGGGGGAGGTGTTCCACAAGGTGGTGTCTGTCATAGCAAAAGCTATCTTCCAAGGTCCCATTAGATGGCAACATTGCAGGGAAAGGATCTGGAGCAAGCCTACCCTATCCAATATGATGGGACTGACAGATATCTCAAGGATAGGTGGTGTCAACCCTTTGAGGTAGCCTAGACCAGCGTCAGCAACCTGTGGCTCTGGAGCCGCATGTGGCTCTTTCATCCCTCTGCTGCGGCTCCCTGTCGCCAGTCAGCTCCACAATTCAGTTAGGATAGGTAGAGGAAAAAGGATGCCACGCTAGGAGGAGACTCTATGGTAGGGGAACTGGACTTCCGGTCAGCAGAGAAAAAAGGATGCCATGCTAGGAGGAGACACTATGGTGGGCGAACCGGACTTCCTGTTGGCTCCAGAATTGAACGGGGGGCTTCCAGTTAGGGCCTTTGAGGCTCTTTGAGTGTTTAAGGTTGCCGACCCCTGGCCTAGACAAAAAATGAAATTTCTGAGTACTAATCTTTATTGTCAGATTACAGTAGTGTTTCTCAATCTTGGCACCTTGAAGATATGTGGACTTTAACTTCCAAATTCCCCGGCCAGACATGCTGCGATTGTTCTTTCTCCTACAGCTCAAGCTATTCCTATTATAGACCATTACAGGCAATTCCACAAATATAAAAGCATATAATATTAACACATGCAAATGCAAACATACATCTCTGGAACTGCACAATCCTGTTGAAATGTGGCTGGAGATTTTAAACATGACTAGTTTAAAGGGTAAATTAGTCACGTCTAAACTAGGTGACACATAAAACCACTACATGGATTGTTTGGGCAGTCTGTTGTTGTGCATTTATGAGCACATTGGGGGTTCACTGTATTGTTATGCCCGCCCACTCCACAATTTTTTAAAAAATTTATCTTTATTTTATTTTGTCCAGTACATATTAGATAATATATAAGCATGAATTGAATACATAAAATGAATACAATTAAAGGGATCATTAGGACAGAGATGGTAGGCATGCTGGTGCTCTTATGCACGCCCCTTACAGACCTCTTAGGAATGGGGTGAGGTCAACAGTAGAGCCTGGATAGCTCAGCAGACTAATGCATTGTGATTAACTCCAGCTGTCTGCAATTACTGTAAGTTCGAATCTCACCAGGCTCAAGGTTGACTCAGCCTTTCATCCTTTCTAAGGTAGGTAAATTGAGGACCCAGTTTGTGGGGGCAATAAGCTGACTTTGTATAAAATATACAAAAGTATGAAGGCTATTGCTTAATGCATTGTAAAATGCCCTGAGTCTCCGGAGAAGGGCGGCATATAAATCAAATTAAAAAAAACAAAACAACAGTAGACAGTTTTAGGTTAAAGTTTTGGGGGTTTTGGGATGAGACCACAGAGTCTGGTAGTGCATTCCAGGCATTAACAACTCTGTTACTGAAGTCATATTTTCTGCAATAGAGTTTGGAGTGGTTCACTTTAAGTTTGTATCTATTGTGTGCTCGTGTATTGTTGTAGTTGAAGCTGAAGTAGTCATTGACAGGCAGGACATTGTAGCAGATAATTTTTTGAGTTGTGCTTACTTCATACCGAAGGCGGCATAGTTCTAAATTTTCTAAACCCAGAATTCTGTGTACATTGTTGAAGAAAATAATGCCCATAACTCAGGAATATCAGCAAGAACATGATCAAAACCTCACCCTTTTTTGGTTGTGTTGCAGGTAAAAAGGGTAGCTCTTCAACAGATAATTCTGCCTCTTCTGAACATTTCAATAGACTCTTTCCATCATGAATGAAGGTTCCTTCTGACTCAGGAAACTTATTATAGTGAACTAGTTTCTTGCATTTTTATATCGCCATCCCCAAAGAAAAGACACAGTTGCCCAGAAAAAGTTTTATTGCAATTACAAACTTTGTGATACATCAAAGACCCAGCCTGGACAATGGCAGAAAAGATTCTGTGACAAAGAACCTCAGTTAACAGTCGAGAATTCACCCAATGAATGTTACAAATGGGACAAAAGTTGTCCACAAAAGATATATATAAGATATATATAAGATTTCAGTAGCTGTTTGGAAGGCTAGAATTATGGGAGTTACACTCCCTAATACATTTGCAGGAACCCACATTTTGCTGGAGAGAATTGTTGAGAACACCTTGGACTGCAAGAATGTTTCAATACTAGAAAGATTATGTTAAGAGTTTGTGTGGGGGGCACATCACACAAAGGTAAGCTTCATGGAAGTATTTCCTGATGTTTGGAAAAATGGAAGGCAATCAATAAGAGAAATGGCCAACAGATACAAGTTGGGTAGATACTATCACTGGTGACACCTGATTGAGCATGCAAGGATTCAGAGAAGCAGTTCTGTCAATCTTGGAGAAATCTCCATTGAATCATGAGGAATCTGAACTAACTTAACTAAATGAGATTATGATTGGAGAAGGGACTGGTAGGGTTTTATTATAAGCCACCCTAAATTAATATTATTAAAAATATGACAAAAATTGGGTTCAAGCTACTGAAATCACTGCAATACTAGAACATGGTCGAATTCACGAATTACCTAAGTCATGATGTGGTTTATTTCATTTCGGCTTAGGTAAAATGTATTTCAAATACATATCTTCCCAACTTCAAGAAAAATCAGACGTGGCTTATAGTATTAGGAATCTTCATACAACACTTAAGATTCAAGGATGGAATTCCATCTTGACTACTCAAGGTGCTGAAACTTGAATAGTTGGCAATTCCTAGACCTTTTTCTTTATGCAAACTTTATCACAAATTGTTACATAAGCAAGTTGGTAGTGTAATGCCCACTACTGCTGTGATGCACGGATCTCATGTTGTCGCTCATGGGCACATAAAACATTTATGCTCTACCAAAATCCTGAGCAATTCTGTCAAAATATTGTGAGATTTCAACCACCGTTTGCACCACAACCAACCTGTGCGAGACTTCCCCACAAACAACCTGTGTGATTATCATGGACCATAGGGGTGGGAATACTGTGGGAATACAATGGACCTCTGTTGGAAAGACTCATAGTTTGAAATTACAAAAACTTACTCATATCTGTGGAGATATCTGCATCTCTTACTCTTATGACTGCCCAGAATTAACTAGGTTGCAACCTTTTACACAGTCTAGACGAGCCTTCCCCAAACTGGTGACATATCTACAATTCCTAAAATGTTCGAAAGGTATTAGGCAAAAGGAGGTTAGGGTCTCTTGTATGAATGGTTGAAGTAAGCACTTCTGCAAGAGCGAGGATTACACCATCCCAAGTAGTACATCCCACAGGGCCACCTTCCAAATGTACGAGACCACACCGCTCCCACCATACCCAGCCAGCAGAGCGGCTTGAGAAGGAGCTCCCTTTTTTAAATGAAGTGCTGGGCATTAGGGATGAAGCGTAAGCTCAGTTCCGTCCCAAACCCGGAACCAGGGGTAGATTCTTTCTCCAGAGAAGGATGCGTTCGAGAAAGAGAAAATGGTCGTCTTTGTTTCTACGTTAAAAAATTCCACCTCTTGATAGACGTAATCCAAAAACACACGAATCCGCCGGGGTTTCTTTCCTAAAGTAAGTTTGGTGGGTTGTGGCACAGTAAAAGCTACGTAATTTCTTTTCCCCCAATATTCTGCAATAGCCCAGATGCCTTCGTTGGTGCTAAAATCGGTCAATCCTTTTCTCTTCACTGACTCCCTAGCCACTCCCACAGCCCATTCTCCATCGTGTTTTATTTCCACCTCCCAACAGTGTCTTCCTGACCTAAACCCATTCTGGCCCAGAACCCACACCCGTGGGGTAAATCTTTTATCGCTATCGGGAAGTGGCTGTTCTTCCTTTCCCCATGTTGCAGTTTTCCGATCCCTAGAGATGACAAGGCGGCGATGAGCAGTGTCTGGGTCAAAGGTCACAGAGGCTACAAGAGAAAAGCAAAACAGCTAACTTATTTGCGGTCCTTCGGTACTTTTTTCCTTTCAAAATCTGCATGATACAATCTCAGTTCTTCAGGTCTCTGTTCAGCAGATTCTGGAGCAGTGGTTCCCAACCATTTTTTGGCCATGCCCCACCTGTTGTATATGGAAGTAGGAGTGGGCCTTACATCAGCCTTCACTCATTGTGAGGAGTGTTGAATATGCAAGTAGGACTGAGTCTTACATCAGCCTTCACTCATTGGTTCATTTTCCACGGTGGGAAAATGAACAAGTGTCAGTGGCTGACAGGCTGGGCAGCTCCCTGTAAAAGGAGCTTCGGGCAATCCTCAGTTTGTAGTTATTTTTGTTGTTGTTCTTGTTGCCTGAAATAAACGGTTGTTTTACTTCACTACGATCGTCCTGCCTCTCTTTTTGTGTCCGGACGTAACACCACCTAAGCATCTTTAAATTCTGATGCCTCCCCCCCCCGCCCCCCGGTGACATATAATTCTTACTGTTCAAAAAGTGAACTCCTAGTCATGCCTAAAAGGCCATTAACTTGATTTAAACAAGGTTCCAATTGCCCCCATTAAAAATAAACTGCCCCCCTGTGAGGCATGGGCCACACGTTGGGAACCATTACTGTGGAGGCTGCAGACGACATTCTGGTGGGCTCTCCAACTGCTCAAAAAATTATTTCCAGAGCTGTTGAGCCAGTTAATTTTTTGGGGGGAGGAAAGTGCATCATGTGTAGTTGACATAAATTATATAAATTGCCACAAATGATGCAATTCCATGCAGATAAATGTAATTTCAATTATAATGGACATTGGACATTCCTGGACACGCCTTCCCCTACATGTTCAAGTTTTGCTGCATTATTTAAATTTAAATAATGCAAGATTTTATTGGATTCTAAGAGAAAAGCTACAAATAGTGTTCATAAAAATAAATCTAAGGTTTAAAAGTATTTGATGAAAATGATGTATATTTTTATTCCTTAAGCGGGTTTATTAAAAAGCAAAACAGTCTCAATGTGTGTTTGTCAGAAAATATTAAGAATGTTGTTAGGAATTTTAAGCAAGCAAAAAAAATTGTTAAAATTCTAAAGTTGTTTTATTAGATGTATAGATTCAATTATCTATAGAGCCTTGGTACTACAGTGGTTTAAAGCACCCTGTTATTAGCACAGCTGCCTGCAATTTACTGCTGGTTCGAATCTCTCCAAGGCTCAAGGTTGACTCAGCCTTCCATCCTTTCTAAGGTAGGTTAAATGAGGACCCAGTTTGTGGGGGCAATAAGCTGACTTTGTATAAATATACAAAAGTATGAAGGCTATTGCTTAACGCACTGTAAGCCGCCCTGAGTCTTCAGAGAAGGGCGGCATATAAATCAAATTAAAAAAAAAAAATTATGATCTAGGTATTAAGAAGGTTTATTTCTTTTCCAGGCCTAATAATCTCAATGAAATCATTGTATTTATGGGGGCCAAGGTCATTTCACAAATCCATTTATCATTCTTGGGATCATGATATCTCAGAGTTCACAGAACCTCCGCATGATGCCCTAATGTGAATGTTTGGATTTGCGTGTGTTGTGTAAACTTAAAAATTAGGGTAGCTTGAGTAAAATAATGTGTCATGTGTCATGTGACTACAGTTTTTTACTATGGTATTGTAAAGTGTAAGTTGCTGTGGCTGTCTTTCCCAAGACATTCATAGAGAACTGGATCAGTCTTTTATTCTATATCAGGGGTATCAAACTCGTTTTCACAGAGGGCCACATCGGGGTTGTGTTTGACCTTGGGTGGCCACAGTGGGGAAATCCAATTTTTTTTTACTGCCGGTTCTGTGGGCATGGCTTGGTGGGCATGGTGTAGTGTGTCTTGGTGGGCGTGGCTTGGTGGACGTGGCAGGGGAAGGATACTGCAAAATCTCCATTCCCACCACACTCCAGGGAAAGGATACTGCGAAATCCCCATTCCCTCCCCACTCCTGGGGGAAGGATATTGCAAAATCTCCATTCACACCCTACTCTGGGGCCAGCCAGAGGTGGTATTTGCCGGTTCTCCAAACTGCTCAAAATTTCCACTCTCCAGAACCTGTCAGAACCTGCTGGATTTCACCCCTGGGTGGTCGTGACCAGGGTGGGCATGGCCAGCTTGACATCACTCATGTTGCGGGGGAGGGGCGGCTGTGGTGGCCCAAGCACTCTGCCAGTGAAAATGGGCTCCCGAGCTCCATTTTCGACTGCGACGGCCTCCTGCAACCTTCTACCAGAGAAAATGGAGCTCGTGAAGGCTGCACTCGGCCCTCCCAAGTTCCATTTTCACTGACAGAGGCACCGCAGTCCAGTCCTTTGTTGTTTCCAGGGCAGCCCTGCAGGTCAGATGCAAAGGTAGGTAAATTGAGGATCCAGTTTGTGGGGGCAATAAGCTGACTTTGTATAAAATATACAAAAGTATGAAGGCTATTGCTTAACGCACTGTAAGCCACCCTGAGTCTCCGGAGAACGGCGGCATATAAATCAAATCAAATAAATAAATAAATAAAAAACACCCTGCAGGCCGGATCCGGCCCCCGGTCCTTGAGTTTGACACCCCTGTTCTATGTTATGAATAACTCAGATTGATTTGTTTTGGTTATCGGTATTGTAAATTCTGATTTCAGAAAATTAAACAACAAAACCCCGAAAATAAATAATTTAAAATTACCTATTAAGCTGCCTGGGATCCATCCGCATGAATTGGTTGAAGTCGATGGGTAGAAAACACTTTGTGTCTGTAATACTTTTTAAAAAAGCTTAGGTTATACAATAGGAAATTATACACACACACACAATTGTTATTTCAGTTTAGAAGTAGAGCATAAATCATTCAATTTGCATATAAAACAAAAATACAAAATAGAACTTTGGTTTGCAAGATTACAAGAAATGCCCAATCATAAAAAAGGATTTTATAAATCTGAAATTGATGCCAATAAAGGTAATTGAAACTTAAAAAAAATTTGCAACCCGGACCTAGTAGCTATTAAACAGAGGGGAATATGTAGTAAGAAATGGTCAGATAAAGAAATCTAAATCCCAGGCATAAATGCAATTTGAGAAAACATCTTCCTATTTCTTATGAAAACAAAGGGAGGAAAGGGAGAAAGTGCGTTCAGTTTTGCAAGATTCTGTTGCTGTAACCATATAATAAAAGTAATATTAGCATTCAAAACTTCGATGTTGCATTTTGCTCTACCTTAAAAGGGTCAATGATTGGTTTCCCCCAAACCTTCAGGGAAATACAATCTTCCTAGCTGTTAGGATATGGTTTGAGCCTAACAGTTGTCCAGGCAATATGAGTGTACTGTAACTTTAATCTGTAAATGTATTATGTGACTTTAATGCTGAGTCATGCTGTAATTAGGTAATGACTGGTTGTGAGAGTATTTAAGCAAGGTATTGTAACGTATTCAGTTTGATGATGAAGCTGCTATGATAAGCTACCATTGAGAGGAGTTGTTATCTGCTAATCATCGTTTGATGGATCTGCTACCATCGTGGTTTGTGAACCAGAGTGAGTTTGTTATTCTAACCAACTACTGTTTGTTGGGTAAGAAGATTCTGTAACTACTGGACTGATTTAACTGGCAAAGACTTGGAATTCATTTAAAGACTATGAGACTGTTTTTCTACTATAAAGTAAGCTTTTTAATAAACCAGTTTGCATATCTCTTATTCATTGCTCTCAGCAACGTTTCCTTGTGCATTTCCTCTGCTGGTTGGTAACACAACACCAATATCCTTAACATTGGTTATGGGCCCAGAGTCAACCAGAACTAACTAGGATTGTTAAAAGCCAAACTGAGAGTTAATGTGAATAGAACAAACTGTGGTTGTGATATACAATCCAAGTGAAGATAGCACTAGAACAAGCAGCAAATTGTTCCATGATAACCCGGCTGGATGGAACAAACTATGTATCCTGGTCTGCAAAATGTAGTCTACTCTTGCACTGGCTATAGGAACCTTTAAAAGGGAAGATATTAAGAGGGAAAGTGGTAGCTACCCTAGTGGGAATCAGCCAGCGGTATCAGAATGGAATGGGGGGTTGGGGGCGGAGATTATTCACAAAGCAGCATTGTGCCATTACATTATAAATGCTGTCCACTTTGTACAGAAAATGTGTCATCAGAGCGTGTGTAAAAGGGGAGGAGCTCAAGGCACAGTTATACAACAGTGGTTTTGTTGAAAACAGGAAGATCATGTGAGGGAAATGCCACTGGTGGAATCAGCTTAACATCCAGAAATGCAACCAACGAAGCATTTCCTGACATGAATCATTGATGGTCAAAGCGTCATCTGTGGTCTTTTGAGGAACTGAAGGAGTAAGGCTGTGATGGCGAACCTATGGCAAGCGTGCCACAGCTGGCACGCAGGGCTCTCTCTGCGGGCACACGAGCCGTCGCCCAGCTCATCTTCACCGCGCATGTGCACACATGCCTAACGCTGATTTTTGGGATCTGTGGGGACGGGGCGCATGTGTGAGATGCGTGTGCTTACACTGGAGGGTCATGCATGCATGGGGGGCAGGAGTCATGCATGCATGCACAGGGGGAGGGATGGAGCACAGGGGGTACGGTGTGCCCCCCCCCTGCAGCCCATTTTTTGGCCCAGAAAGCTGCAGGGAGGCCTGCTAGGCCAAAAACAGGGGCAGGGGATCACACACGCATTCACGGGGTGTGTGGGAGAATGTGGACCGTGGGGGGGGGGTTGTGCGCACATGCTCAGGGGTGCACATTGCATTACAGGTGCTGGCACGCATGTGCGCACGCTTTCGGCACATGACAAGAAAAAGGTTAGACATCACTGACTAAGGGATTAGATTGGGAACAGTCTTGGAGCTAATGAGGGCTACATGAGGTTTCCCCAGATTTTATTCCCAAAATGCCAACTCTGGGAAGTGGATTTGGTGGAAAGAGTGGGGCTGGGCTCTAGGGCTTAGTCGAGATTTGAACTTTTATCTCCCCATCTCTATTAACTCATTACTCACTCTGTAACCCATCTCTGTGATCCCTCCTGACCTCAGATACTTACCTATCAGAAGAACAATTAGGGCCACATTCACAGCAATGCTTCCTCCCAGTATGACCCAGAGTGTGATTTTGCAGCATTTCGAAGGATCTGTAGAATTAACCTTTCATTATGGACCTTCCACCAAAGATTTGCAAAGTTACAAAAAGTGAAAACAGTCATAAAATCTCCCAGTCACCAGGTTCTCACTGTGTTCTAACCCGTGGTATGCTTAAACATGATTTGTTAAATAAAAACTATGATCGGTTGGGATTATAAGAGCCACGGTGGCACAGTGGTTAGGGCGCAGTACTGTAGGCTACTTCTGCTGATCACCAGCTGCCAGCAGTTTGGCAGATCGAATCTCACCAGGCTCAAAGTTGATTCAGCCTTCCATCCTTCCGAGGTGGGTAAAATGAGGACCCAGACTGTTGGGGGCAAATATGCTGACTCTGTAAACCACTTAGAGAGGGCTGTAAAAACACTGTGAAGCGGTATATAAGTCTAAGTGCTATTTCTATTACCTATCACAACAGGCTATAAACTATGGTTTGTATGCCCCAACAGCTGGCCTCACCCAATATGCTATGCAAAAGCCAAGGAGCAATGGCTTATCCCTAATCCCTTTGCAATCTATTAAAATACGTTAAGGTTGTGCACACCAAGAGTTAGGAGATATCTGGCGATTGTGGCTATATTGGGGAAAAGATAGTCTCTAATCGAGCAATGTTGGCAGTTGGCAGTTATCTTCACAGTTCCTGCCTGCCAGCCACATCTATCCATTGTACCACTTGGGTGCACACGGACACTGCTGTAGCTGACCCCAATTGTTTTGTTAAAGACTGAAGGCCTGAAGCTCATGAGCTTCACTATATATTTCTATCCCTGTGACAAGCCCAAAACATTATGTTGTGGCTTTGCTACTATGTGAAAATACAAATGCTTATTTAAGAATTAATATAACAATTCAAGATGTTGCTGTTTAGGAGGGGCGGGGGAAACATCTGTAGTTGTTCAATTTGTTATTCATTCCTACTCCTACTCCTACTCTTACTCCTACTCCTACTCCTACCCCACCCTACTCTACTCTACTCTTACTTACTGGCCATCTGTTTTTCTTTCTAAATGTTATTAAAAGTTTTACCAACAACATAAAAACCAACACAAGCTCTAATAAAGACTAAGGAAGCGTTTTCAACCATGAAATTGTTTCTGATGGATGAGAAGCCAAAAGAAAACTATGAAGTACCTTGACTTACAACAGTTTGTTTAGCGACTGAAGTTAAAGTTGCTCTGAAAAAAGTGACTAATGACTAAGCATTCAGATGCTTGACCACTGAAATTTTGGACTCAATTGTGGTCATAAATCAAGGACTACCCGTAGTAGAAATGCTTTTTAACAGAGGGCAATTGTCTCCAACAATAAAATAAAATGGCTTAACAACAATCTATCTCTCCCTCCCTCCCTCCCTCCCTCCCTCCCTCCCTCTCTCTCTCTCTCTCTCTCTCTCTCTCTATATATATATATATATATATAAAATCTCAAGGGAATGAAGAATTTCTATACATATATAGAACACACATATGTGTATAAGTGTGTGTGTGTATATATATATGTAGATATGTATGTATCCATAGGTATATACATACATACATACATACATACATACATACATACATACATATATATATATATATATATATATATATATATATATATATATATATATATATGCATGTGTGTGTGTGTGTGTGTTTGTGTGTGTGTATGCGCAGAGGGTATTTGATGATGTCCGGGCAGGTGGGTGGAGCCTCCTGCTGCTGTTACTACTGGTTCGCAAGAACCGGTACGACCCAGTAGCAACCCACCACTGTATTATATGTATATGTATGTGTATGTGTATGTGTATGTGTATGTGTATATGCATATGTGTGTATATATATATATATATATGTGTGTGTACATGTGTATGTATAAATATGTATGTATATATGAATATATATATATATATGTAAATATAATATGTGTATGTGTATGTGTATGTATAAGTATATGTATATGTATATGTATATGTATATGTATATGTATATGTATATGTATAAATAAAAGAAATTATTCATCCCCTTGAGAATTAGCTTTAAAAAGCAGAAGCTTCTCCAATAAAGGAAGGAAACTTTGCGAGAACCGAAATTGATTAGTCAACGAAGAAACAGTTCTGACAAAATCATTTCAGGTCTGACAGACTTTCAAGTTTCTCTCAACATTGCATAACTGGGTACATTTCTTCCTGGAAAGTTAGGCAAGAAGAAGATGCAGCTATGAAAAGACCACTTTTCTCAATCCTTTGGCATAGCTATGGGTGTCTATTTTGGTGGTTTTTTGTCAAAAAGACAAACAGAGCACTGTGTCATTTCACCACAAACTCTGCTAATACAAGAGGGACAGAACTTATGCTACAACAGCCCAAGATTCTTTCATCAGATGATTCCTCTTGCCTGGCCACTCCTTTGCCTCCATCCAATTCTTCCTTGCCGGCATGATTCATACCATACCCTTTCTGGTTTGCTGCTGCTACCTCTGGCCTACTTATTCAGAACAGAACAGAAAAACAGATGGAAGGGACCTTGGAGGCTTTCTAGTCCAACCCCCTGCTCAAGCAGGAGTCCCTATACCTTATTCCAGACAAGTGGCTGTCCAGTCTCTTCTCAAAAACTTCCAGTGTTGAAGCACCCACAACTTCTGGAGGCAAGTCATTCGACTGATTAACAGTTCTCACTCTTAGGAAATTTCTCCTTAGTTCTAGATTACTTCTCTCCTTGATTAGTTTCCATCCATTGTTTCCTGTCTTGCTTTTATTTTATTCACCTTTATTTATTCATTTTATTTACTTTATTTTTATTTTATTCACCAATTTTAAAGTTTGCAGTTTTTTTTAAAAAAAAGTTTCCCACTGTTTCCACCCCTTGCTCCAATAAACTGCCATAGTGTTCTCTCTTATGAGCAGAAGTTTTACTACCGGTTCTGTGGATGTGGCTTGGTGGGTGTGGCTTGGTGGGCATGGCAGGGGAAGGATACTGTAAAATCCCCATTCCTTCCCGAACAGCTGGGACTCGGGAGGCAGAGAATAGATGGGGGCAGGGCCAGTCAGAAATGTTATTTACCAGTTCTCCGAACTACTCAAAATTTCTGCTATCAGTTCTCCAGAACTGGTCAGAACTTGCTTAATACCACCTCTGATAGATAGATAGATAGATAGATAGATAGATAGATAGATAGATAGATAGATAGATAGATAGAGATAGATAGATAGAGATATGTAGATATATAGATATATACAAACAAACACACACATGTATGTATGTGTGTATATAAATTCCCCCGCCCATTTTGGGGAGGCAGCTTAAATGGAGCCATAGAAAAACATGCTATAGCAGTGTTTCTCAACCATGGCAACTTTAAGGTGGTAACTTCTGGGAATGGAAGTCTACACATATTAAAGTTGCCAACATTGTGAAACACAGTAATGTAACAGTAAACTATAAGTCATAGTTTACAAACCACAACAGCTACTTTCCCAGAATATTCGTAGTGAAAAACAAACAAACAAGCCAAATACTATATAGTTTGTTCTGGTTTAACACACAACGTATGAACCCTATAAATAGAAGGGTGATTATTCTGGGTACAGAATAATTAAAGGACTGTACTTGCATTCTGTACTTCTGTACAGATAGTGCTTGGTTTAGTAACAGCTCATTTAGTGACCATTCAAAGATCCATGGTTGCGCAGTGGTTAGAATAGAATAGAATAACAGAGTTGGAAGGGAACTTGGAGGTCTTCTAGTCCAACCCCCTGCTTAGGCAGGAAACCCTACACCACTTCAGGCAAATGGTTGTCCAATCTCTTCTTAAAAACTTCCAGTTTTGGAGCATTTACAACTTCTGGAGGCTAGTTGTTCTACTGATTAATTGTTCTAACTGTCAGGAAATTTCTCCTTAGTTCTAGGTTGCTTCTCTCCTTGATTAGTTTCCACCCATTGCTTCTTGTCCTGCCCTCAGGTGCTTTGGAGAATAGCTTAACTCTCTTTTCTTTGTGGCAGCCCCTGAGATATTGGAACACTACTATCGTGTCTCCCTTAGTCCTTCTCTTCATTAAACTAGACATACCCAGTTCCAGCAACCGTTCTTCATATGTTTTATCCTCTGGTCAAATGGCAAAAATTTCAGCATATTTGAAGGATTATACTCAAGAAAGATATATGTTGGAATGGAGCAGAGGGATTGATTATATTCAAAATAAGTATCAGACTAGAAAATATCAAATAGCTTATGAGTGAATGTTAAATCTTAAAGTTATGTTACTTATGGTGGAGTTAAGGGTTAAGGGGGGGTTGGTTAGTTTAATTGTTAATTGAAATACCTTGTATTTTGCTCTGGGAAGTGGGCGGGGGAGAGGGGGGGTTGATTGGGGGTGGGTGGGTGGGAAAAGGGGTTGGGGAAAATTGTTGTTTTTCTTTAAAACTTTTAAAAAAAAAACAAAAAAAACCTCCGGGGTCCATTTCAACTCTGTTATTCTGTTAACAACAGAAATGTTGGGCTCAATTGTGTTTTTAAGTTGAAGACTACCTGTACTCAGCACATTAAGAAATCATGTGGCTTCTTGTTGGCAGTCAAGGTAATTTGTAAACTATGGTTTGTAGGTTTAGCTTGTAAGACGAAGATGTATTGCAAACTATTTTTTTTTTTTGTCAGAAGGTAACATGTGGGAAACCCTAAACTTAATCTAGCATAGAAAGAGGTAACTGACTTTAAAAATGACTGCCTCTCCTTTCACCAAAAATAACTTTGGTTAGAATGATTTTTGGCAATTCTGCAAGTTCTGGAAAGATTTGAAATGCCAATAATTGTAGATCTACTTGAAAAGGTGAATGATAGTCTATCAATGAACTGAATACATCAGGCTAAGCACATCTTCATACGAAACACACAACCATGTTTTAAATTTCTGAATTCTACAGATTTTTTTAAGAAGACTAAGAGCAGTTTAATCATTCCCTAGCCATTAACCTGGATTCAGATGACATATCAGACTATGGCTAAGATAAACATGAACAAACCACAATTATGGATTGCGATCAGGGCTTCACACTCCAATGATAGTCTAATGTAAGCTTCAAACTATTTGATAAATTGATCCACACCCCTATCATGAAACTCTAGTCACCAATCTGCTTCATACGTTGCTAGCATAATTTAGTGCTGCTTGCAGAATTAGCATAAGCTGAGCTTCATAGGCGAGACAGTCATCAACTTGCATCTTTCATAATTTTATTCAAACTCTAATCTACCCTGCCCACATTCCAGAGTCCTACTGTAATCACAACATACCCAGAAGGAAACTAAATAAATTGAAAAGGCTTCTGTAACTCTTCATCCCAAGTGGTCTCCCTTTATTAAGATCTATACAATGATATCTATATCATTAAATAGCCAGCTAAAGCCAACAGAAACTTCAATCATTACCTTCCATCTTCTTGGGAATAGTGTCTGTGTAGACATGCCTTGTAGGGTCTATTACCATGTAACCTTCTGCATCTTCCATAATCTAAGCAATCCACAGGAAGCAAGTCATACAAATGAGTTAATTCCTAAACATTAAACCTAAATACTAGTTGTCAGTTCCTCTTCAGTGGAACTGCCCCCAAATGAGTGGGTGCTTTTCCTTCCCTCCGGAATCCAAAGCTTCAGTGTCATCTGGCAAAGAATTTTAAATTGGTCCTACCTTCTTCTTAACTGGCGAATGCCTCTCACGATAAACCACAAACCCAACACATGTGTCGAGAAAGAGGAAGTGAAGTCTCCAAGTCTACACAGACTGGGAAAACGCCTTTAAATTCAAAGGAAAGCAATTCAACAGCAATCATCTGCTAGGATTGAGCCAAAACATGGGAGGAGGAGATTCCTAACAGCATCTGCAAAGAGGCCACCAAAACAATTCTACAGTTAAAAAAAAAAAAAGGGTAGAGTTTCAACAAACAGCTGCACAAAGAAAGATAGGAAGGGAGAGAGAAAAAAGTCCATCCTACAAGTACATAGAAAAAAAAGTAAAAGGGATTTTCAAATGAAAATGGACTTGTTTTGCTACAAGAGTTAAAAACGTGGGGAAATGTGAAAGACTTAAAGGCTTTCAAGATAGGAAAATATCAAGCTAAGAATACAGGGATACAAACATAAAGGTAAAGGTAAAGGTACCCCTCGCACATATGTGCTAGTCGTTCCCAACTCTAGGGGGCAGTGCTCATCTCCGTTTCAAAGCCGAAGAGCCAGCACTGGCTGAAGACGTCTCTGTGGTCATGTGACCGGCATGACTAAATGCCAAAGGTGCACGGAACGCTGTTACCTTCCCACCAAAGGTTGTCCCTATTTTTCTACTTGCATTTTTTATGTGCTTTCGAACTGCTAGGTAAGCAGAAGCTGGGACAAGTAAAGGGAGCTCACCCCGTTATGCGGCACTAGGGATTTGAACCGCTGAACTGCCGACTTTTCGATTGACAAGCTGAGTGTCTTAGCCACTGAGCAACCGCATCCCACTCAAGCTAAGAATACAGGAATACGAACATACAGTAGACTTAACAGAACAGATGGACATTCAAAGATTGGATGAGAGAGAAGACTAAGTCTGAATTCTAGCAATAGGACAACTGGAGATTAAGGCAGGCAGGAAGGCACAGACATAGAGTTAGCAATATGATTAAAAGTAAAGAGTTGTGCTTTAATTTTGTGTAATAAAACTACCTCAATGGAACAAAACTAAAGCTAGGCCTTTGTGTCTCCGGCTCGCACCAGCTTGAGAAAATCCTAGTATCTTCTAAAGGTGGAATAGCTTTTTTGGACTTGTCAAGCCACTCCTGAAATATAGGACAAGCCCTATACCCAGCCAATGAGACTTTCCAAGTTTGTCAACAATGTCATCTGAAGCCTGTCTCAATCTGATGTGAGTAATGCATCCTTCCTTGTGTCAAATAATTAATCTGGGGTTGCAACTTGAGGCAGGGTTGTGCAGGAACAAATCGAAATGAAACCCAAACAAACTGCGAGGACAGGATATTTATTTATTCCCAAAAGCCAAGGGGTTCTCTACAGAGAAAATAGGGCCCAGAGAGGTAATTTTATAGGGGATTGGTCCTTGGTGTGAGCCAGGGGTGAAATGCTCCTGGTTCAGACCGGATCACCCGATCCGGTAGCGATGGCGACGGGTGGTTCGGAGAACCGTTAGCAAAAATCCCTGCGCCCCCCCCACCATGCTCAGCTGAGCCGCACGATCATCAGAGGCTTTTTAAAAAAACTTTTCAAAGCATTTTTTCTACAACCTCTTCCGACGAAAAAATGCTTTTAAAAGTAAGAAAAAAGCCTCTGATGATCGCGCGGCTCAGGTGGGATAGTCAGAAGCTTTTCAAAGCATTTTTTCTGCAACCTCTTGGCCGAAGAGGTGGTAAAAAAAATGCTTTGAAAAGTCTCTGATGATCCCAGCTGAGTTGCCTGATGGCAGAGAGGTATTTTTTAAAAAGCCTCTCTGACGATCCCAGCTGAGTTGCCTGATTGGCAGAGGCTTTTCAAAGCATTAGAAAAAATGCTTTGAAAAGTTTAAAAGAAAAAAAAGTTGGCCACGCCCATCCAATCACATTACCACCACCACCAAGCCACGCCCACAGAACCGGTAATAACAAATTTTACATTTCACCCCTGGTGTGAGCTTAAGGGGCACTGGTGTGTGTACTGCTGGTTGTAGTGTGTAACTCTGTCAAAATGTCAACCTTAATTGTCCTGGTCTCTTTCGGCTTGCCATGGTTGCATAATGGTGTCTGGGAAGCCTATTTGTGGGTTTGGTTGAGCTGTGGTGGCGCAGTGGTTAGAATGCAGTACTGCAGGCTAATTCAGTTCACTGGCAGGAGTTCGATTCTGACCAGCTCATGGTTGACTTAGCCTTCCATCCTTCCAAGGTTAGTAAAATGAGGACCCAGATTCTGGGGGGCAATATGCTGACTCTGTAAACCAGTTAAAAGGGGGCTGTAAAGTGGTATGTAAGTCTAAGTGCTATTGCTACTCGGGGATGTGTGAATGAACAAGGATTTTTTTTTTGGTCTGGTTAATTTTGTCTGGTTAATTTTGTCTTGCCTAAGTACTTACTATATATTAGTTGATTGTTAGCAGAGATATGCTTTCAGCAATCTTTGTGGCTGTCTTTATTAAAATGTATCTTCTTGACTGCAATATGGATTTCTTGCTCTAGTCAGCTATTCGAGACAGAAAGAATCTGCTATAATTATTGATTATTAAAATTCTTACTATACCTGATTGGGTTTGTCATTTACTGTGTTTCTCCAAAAAGAAGGCTGGGTCTTATTTTCTTTTAACCCCCCCAAAAACAGCTAGGCCTTCTTTTTGGAAGGTTCTAATTATTGACTCACCTTGCGGCGGTGGCACCGACAGCCCCGCCCAGCAGGAACCCGCTACTGGCCCACTTCTTCTGCGGCCGCTTGCCGCCACTTGCATGCATCTCCCTGGCCTCCGTTTTGCCTTCAGATGCCTGCATGTGCAGTCAATCCGGAGCTCTGTTATCAGCTGAAGATGTATTCTGGCAAGCATCTGAAAGCAAAATGGAGGCCAGGGTGATGCGTGCGAGTGGCGGCAAGCGGCCATAGAAGAAACGGCCGCAGAAGAAGGTGAGGCAGGTGTCGGGGTGTGCGAGGCCTGGTAAGTAGGGCAGCTCCACCCCCCACTCCCGCCCTAGCTTATTTTTTACCTGTGGGCCTCACCCCACCCCCTGCACCCTGGGGTGGGCGGGGTCTTAATGAGGGCTAATTTTGTCGGTGGGGCTTAATTTGATCACATGTACTCAAAAACATGATAGGGCTTCTTTTCAAGGTGGGTCGTCTTTTTGGAGAAACACGGTACATAAGAGCCACATGATATGGAAAGGCCACCACAGCTACCCGCTGCCTGAATGGGAGACCACCAGGGCATAGGTGGTCTAAAGTTGGGAAGTTGGAAAACTAGGCCCAAAGAGAATGATAGCAAGAATGTCATGAAAGTGATTCTGAAGGCTTCTTGGCATATTTGTCTTTTTATTTTATACACAGAGGCAGTCAATAGCCTAGGGCAGGGGTCAGCAACCTGTGGCTCTGGAGCCACATGTAGCTCTTTCACCCCTGTGCTGTGGCTCCCTGTCGCTCAAAATATGTATCACAACTGCCAATGTGTGACACCTGCTGAGACATGATTTATTGAGCTTTTCAACCCCTAGTAGGCCAACCATGGATAAATCCAAGAAAAGAGAAGTTTCGGAAGAAAACAGAACGTTGAATTCAACTACATATGCTAGTTTTGTGGCTGCTCAAGAAATAGTCAGGCACGGGAAGGGTTTTGTGGGTCCCGGTGTTTTCTTTTCTGTGGGAGGGAATGGGGATTTTGCAGTATCCTTTCCCTGGAGTGTGGTGGGAATGGAGATTTTGCATTATCCTTCCCCTGCCACGTCTACCAAGCCACGCCCACCAAGCCACACTACACCATGCCCACCAAGCCATGCCCACAGAACTGGCAGTAAAAAAATTGGATTTCTCCACTGTGGCCACCCAAGGTCAAACACAACCCCAATGCGGCCCTCAGTGAAAACGAGTTTGACACCCCTGATATAGAATAAAAGCCTGATCCAGTTCTCTATGAATGTCTTGGGAAAGCAATCACTGGGATTATTGGCGTAAGAAGAGGCTTGGTGGACAGAGTAAAGCAAGAGACAAGAGTTTTGAAGTATCTTTACTTCGTTGCTTATTGCCACAGTCTGACTGGAGAGTGTGTAAGTGGGAGAGAGATCTGAGCGTCCTAGAAGAACAGGAAGTGTAGGCATTATAAGGATTACTCAGGAGACAACGAAGAAGCTGACTTTGGACAATCTAGCAGCAGAAAACCATAGAGAACAGTGTCAGAATAACTGACTTGCAAGACTTGGAAGAGTGTGGAAGCTGAGTATTAAAGAACTTCAAAGAACATTATATATTCGATATTTGGAAAAGAAGGGGGAAGAACCCCATAGTAATAATAAATTTGACACTGGTTATAAATCAATATAAATACATATATATATATTCTCTTCTCTTGATTGCTGGCAAAAACCCTCTTGAGAAACATATACATTCTATTAATTGCTAAATTAACAAATTAAATTGTAAGATCTCTTTACTTATATTTTGGTGAAAAATAGAATCTACTCTTTTCCATTTTTATTGTACCTATAATTTAACTGTATACTTTTTTACGTTTATAGTATTTATCAGGTAGCATAGTACTGATTCATATTTATCTATTCATATTTATATTTGTATATCTATATTTATTGCCTTTATTAGTACAGTATTGATATTTTTAAGTAGGCACTGATATTTCTATACTCAATTGTTCCTTAGGTGATTATCTTGCTAATTAATTAATTATTTATTAATTATATATGAAGCTTAGTATATTTTCTTAGGAATTTTAAATTCAATTGTTTTTTAATAATTCATTAATAAGTGCTATATTTAATTAATTACTTAATTGATTTAGGCTAGGCTTATAATATTAGACAAGTGTTAAGAGACTTATTGTTTGATGGTGTTACTTGTTAAGTGAAATAAGTATACTAAGAAGCTATTGGGATCAATTAAAGAAGGCTAAGGGTAGGAACTTAAGGAAGAATCTTTAAATAAATAGACCC